CACTAAAAATCAAGATCAATTGGAAAGTGACAGAAAGTTCACCTGGTCACCGAGGGACCCATGGAAGAATTTTGGCAAGGGTTTATAAATATTTGCTATAGGCATTGCATTATCGTAATTCGAGAATTAATTTTTGTGTAATTTAAGTAGCAAATTTAAAAATGTTGACAGATTGGTCAGTTTTACACAGCGGAACTTTAAAAAAGAATTTATGTACATAACACTTTATTTTTTACTTTTTTTGAAAGCCAATTACAAAAAGTTGTTTCTCAAAACTAGTTCCGTGTATTTATTTTAACAACAGAAAAAAACAACTTTGAAACTGGAATCAATGTTGATCACATATTATACATGATACACATGTATATAGGAGTTTCACTAAATACTATTACAAACAGAAATTTCTCAAAAGTTCAGATTTTTGACAGCAACAAATTTATTATTCCATTAAGACAACATACTAGTATGGATACAGTTTATTATATTGGACATTATATAGAATAATTCAAATCCAGCATAGACAGGAAAAGTACTTTAAGCTTATACTGTCAATAATATGTCAGGTTAGGTTATGGAAAAATATGGTTTCTTCAAAAAAAAGATACTTCTATGGAATGTAAGATTCAATGTTTCAATTGTTTTGTAGGTAGCATCAAATGCTTTGGATGTAGCAGGATGATATGCCGGAGATTAACGTCATCAAAGTAACTCATCAAAAGACTCTGTGTCTTATGTGTTCGACAATTTATCACTCTTCTGGTGTCAGTGCGTACTGTGAAAAAATGGGAAACATTATCATCAGAGATTCAAGCATTAGAATTGAACATTATTTTATAAATATGGCTACGCAATGCTGGGAACTTATTCTTTGTCAGATTAATACTTTTCAACATTTTTGTATTTTCAAATTACAGTTTACTTGAAATGGTGTCGCATAGCTTTTGATGACATTTCGTAACAAAACCTGACGATGGTGACCATTTTTGAATATTATTAGTTTAAATGTAATAAATTGTCACTCTAATGGGCATTGCAGCACATATTGATTATAACCATTTTGTACTCAATCGATAAGCTTTCGAATGGTGTATAAGATTTCTTGAACTAAGGGCTGACGGGTCGCATCATTCCATTCCATTATTCAAAATAAGCTATTTTTATTGTGAATGAGTATTTCGACCTTTAGGTCCTCCGTAACTCCTCTAATATGCATTGCAGAACATTTTTACTATATACCTTATGTTCCTCTATTGGTAAGATATATCTGTAATTAGAGGCTAAAGGGTCGCAACAGCCCATAAATGAAGGCAACAGTAATATACCGCTGTTCGAAAGTCATAAATCGATTGAGAGAAAACCAATCCGGGTTACAAACTAAAACCGAGGGAAACACATCAACTATAAGAGGAAAACAACGAAACATCAGAAACACTGAAGTGCAACAAAAAACAAACGACAATGCAACACACACAGAAACATAACATTATTCAAAATTTCCATTCCATAATATAATGGCTATTTTTAATGTTCACGCATATTTTGGCATTAAAGTCCTCCGTGACACCGCTAATTGGCATTGCGACACATATTGATTATTTCATTTTGCTCCTCTGTCAATATTTTTCAAATGGTATATACAATTTCTCTATAATTGGGGGTTGAAAGGTCACATCAGTCCATTCCATTATTTAAGCTATTTCTTAATTTTCTCGCGTATTTCGACATTAAGGTCCTCCGTAAACTAACTCCTCTTATATGGTTTGCGGAATATATGGACTTTATACCTTTTGTTCCTCTATTGGAAACCTTTTGAATGACGTATCAGGTATATCTATAATTGAAGGCTGAAGGTTCGAAGCAGTCCATTTCATTATTCAAAATATCCATTCCATGAAATTAGAGGCTGAAGGGTCGTTGCAGTCCATTCAATTATTCAAAATATCCATTCAATAATTAATTTTAATATTTCACTCGTATTTCGACCTTAAGGTTAAGGTCCTCTGTAACGCCTCTAATATGTACTGCGGAAAATATTGTCTATATATCTTTTGTTCATCTGTTGATAAGCTTTCGAATGACGTATAAGGTATATATGAAATGAGAGGCTAAAGGGTCGTAGCAGTTCATTTTATTTTTCAAAATTTAATATTTCTTAATGTTCACGCGCATTATGGCATTCATGTCTTCCGTGTTCCCTTTACTGGATTTCGCGTCACATATGGATTGCAACCATTTTGTTCCTCAATCGATATGCTTGGTGTATACAGATTCTCTATAATTAAGGGCTAAAAGGTGGCAGCAGGCCATTTCATTATTCAAAAATATGCTATTTCTTAATTTTCACGAGTATTTCGACAGTTACTCCTCTAATATGCATGGTGGAACTTTTGAACCAATACCTTTTGTTCCTCTATTGATAAGCTTTCGAATGACGCATGAGGTATAAATCATATAGAGGCTGACGGGTCGCAGCATTCCATTCAATAACTCAAAATACCTATTACATTATTCAAATTGACTATTGTTTAATGTTCACGCGTATTTTGACATTAAGGTTCTCCGTAACCACTCTAATGGGCATTGCGACACATATTGGCAATGCTACAACTCTATAAGTGTTACCAAATAACGTAAAAGATTATAACTTTTGTACACCGTACAGCTTAAACAATTGACATAACCCATACAGTTTAATCGGCTATAAAAGGCCCTAAATGACATTTTTGTAACAATTCAAACGAGAAAACTAAACGGCCTGATGTATGCACAAAGCAATAAATGAAAAGCCTGGTCTAATTAAAACCGTACTGTATCCTTAAAATTAAAAAAAGTGTACGACTTTAGTTCAGACCATGTACAAGTTAAACAAATGTAGGCAAATGTTTGACAAATTGAAAAGGAGTTTTGACTCTAAGCTTATAACGGTAAGTATATTGTAAGCAAGAGAGATCATTCATTGCAAAAGAAAAAAGAGTGGAGCACAAAAATCTTCAAATTTATCTTGAGCATAAAAAAGTATAGAAAAATACCGAATTCAAGACAAAGTCAAACAGGGAAAGTCCATAAAAACTGACAAAATCAAACGCTATCAATCAGAGAAAAAAGACAAAAACAACTGCCATATCCCTGTCTTTGTAGTTGGTTCAGGCATTTTGCGAAGAAAAAAGTGGATTTATAGGTAGCTAGAAACCTCCCACTTGTATGTTTCGTTATATTGTCAAACTGGGGCGAACGATTGATACGGACAAAGTAGGTTATTGTGACAATAATTGGGATCCAGCCGCCAAAACTATGTAAACATTCATCGCAGACCTATAACACAACTAATTCAGTAGTGATTCAATCGTGATAGAAAAACACCATCAACAATCATTTAAAAATGGAAATGCAATGTTTGCCGATGATACAACTCTTTAGCAGAAACCAAATGATGTAGAAGTAAGCAACCATGTATAACCATACGGCCTTCAACAATGAGATAAACTCATACCACATAGTACGCTATGTAATACCCCGAAATGACAAATGTAAAGCAATTAATTTGCGAGAAAACGAACAAAATAATAAATGAAAAAAAACATGACATTCTGTAACAAAAGAAACCACTGAATTACAGGCTCCTGACTTGGGGAAGGCACGTACAGTGTGTGTATGTATATATGTGTGTTTAAAAAATAGGTAGGATGGTAAACATGTTTGTAATGATTATTTGTAACACGTTTTATGCTTCATCGTTAAATATTTCTTTATATTAATCAGTTGTAGACCAACTGAATCATCAATGTTGGGATAGATCAATATGTCGGATACAAGGATCGCCACTAGTACAAATGTAATAATTTTAAAGTGGTTTCAAATGAAACGAAATATTGTTGATCAATATATGAAAATATATTTGTAGTGGATTGTTGTCTCATTAGCAATCACACCACATCTCATAACTTTTCTATTGTAATAGATGTCTGCAGACACTACAACTCAGATTTTTAAAAAAGCAGTATTTTTGCTTGCAATGGTCGTCGACTTCCTCTTTGGTTTGTCCATCTTACATTTTTATTCAAGCGGCCTAATAAGTCTTAACTGTCAAGTTGTAAGAAAAATTTTTTTTAACAATGATCGGAGGGTCCAAATGCAGTTAGTATACAATGTCGACGTGGAGTTGTGAAAACTAACATGTAACCGTTTTATGAAGGTTTCGGGTATTTCAATAATTAATATCAGTTTCTGGATGCACTAAAACACTACTTGATAGGTGTATTTGATAATATAATGCAAAATATAAAGGACATACTTCTGTAACATGTGTAATAATCCAAAACAATTTACCGTTCTTGAGCCAAAAATTAATTTGTTATAATTAGAAAAATATTGTTATGGTATACAGTATAATAGTTCATACTGACAAAGCCGAATCACAACCAGTTAAATGAGCAGGAGCTATTTCAACCTTTACCATATTTGATCCAAAATATTAGAACCTATATGAACAAAAGGGACCTAAATTGAACAGTCGAATTAATCTACGGTCAACTTTGTCTGAGTAAGATAGAACCTTAGTTTCTCAATAATTCTTTATATTACGAACGGGAAAATAAAGCAAAATAACAAAAATACCGAACTCCAAGTAAAATTATAAACGGAAAGTCCCTTATCAAATGGTAAAATCATAACCTAAAACACATGAAACCAATAGAAAACAACTGTCATATTCCTGACTTGGGACAGACGTTTCCTTATGTCGAGAATTTTGGATTGACGCTCGTTTTATAGGTAGATAAACCTCTCACTTGTATGACAGTTGCTAACATTTTCTTATATTGACAACAATGTGTGAACAAAACAAACAGACAAAAAAGGTGAAAACGTCAAAAAGTAGAGGTACATCAGTCAACATTGTGTTATTATCTTAATTACTAAAAAAGAAGCGTGTTAAAATCAAGATAGTATCGAAGTACAAACTACACCCTTTTTATGAATAAATAAATTTTAAATAATAAATCTTTGTCATTGATTCAATTTTTTATAATATTGATATAATATAATATAAAATAATTTAATATAAAATAATAAAATATAAAATAATATAATATAAATTAAATTGAATTGCTGTCATATTAAATAAATTGTCTGTAAATCTTCATAAACGCCACAATTGAGCAAATCTTCATAAACGCCAAAATTGAGCAAATCTTCATATGTGCGATAATCGACCATTGTAATTCTGGAAAAGAAGAAATTATTGGTTTAATATGGAAAATTATGTGACAAAAAGATAACTGAATATTTGTTCCTTAATCATATACGTATCATAGTCGTAATAGTTCACAAATAGAGACTGTTTAAATTGAGTGGCTTGACTTTTACGTACATCATGTACATGTCGTGCGGTATAATGCAAAATACCACAAAACTTTTATATACCATTAGAACTTAATTAAAGAGATGTCAATCAGGAAATAGTGTATAGAAAAATGAAATTTATATGAATGCAGTTGCTCAGTATGATTTTTTAAATTTTTGAATACTATTTTATTGTTCCGCCACAAAAGCTAATTTATAGAAAAGCCGACTTAATTCTATCATAGAGATTGTCTCAATTCTGTTGTTGTTCTGTTATACTAACACGAGCAACACGACGGGTGCCACATTTGGAGCAGGATCTGTTTACCCTTCCGGAGCACCTGAGATCACCCCCAGTTTTTGGTGGGGTTCGTGTTGCCCAGTCTATAGTTTTCTATGTTGTGTTTTGTGTACTATTGTTTGTCTGTTGGTTTTAATCTTTTTTAGCCATGGCGTTGTCAATTTATTTTCGACTTACGAGTTTGATTGTCTCTTTAGTATCTTTCGCCTCTCTTTTGTAAATGTTTGGCGTATCGCTGTAGACCAGAAACTATCAATGGTAATAACAATAACACAACCTTTAGAAACACGGTCTGTTTTATCTTTGGACCAGAAAGTAAACGGGTATATATAAATATTATCAGACGGACTTCTTTCGTTCGGTAGTATACCCCATGCCAAGGAGGCTTCATTTAGACTACTCAGAACATTAATGTTAAAGCATATTGTGTATGGTCAGAATGGCATTGCTACATCCAATGCCTTGTGTAGTGAGAATGCCACTCTGTCTGCGTTGAAGAACCCTAGCAACAATTATTTTAGGTATCCTTACGTGTTTTTTTGCAGGACAATTTTTTTCCCTTTCAACATACTCTTTCCCTGTGACACACCAAGTTTCCCGTCCTTAATTATGTTCGACTATATGATCTTACCTGTCCGTTTGAAGATGTATATGAATTTCTCTGTCCTTTTGGTTTGTAACCATTTTTAGAATTTTTACTTTGACCAGAAACTACAATTATAATACAATAATGAACATGTTATCATAAATTATTTATCTTCTGAAAGTTCACATTTACCATCATATTCTTCAAGATCTGATAATGATATACAAATTTAAGCCACTATTGACGCTTAAATGTGGTTAACATGTCTATTCTCTGTTTTAATAGATTAAACTGTTTGTAATCGAAATGAATTATTGGACAAACATTGGCGATAAAATGCCTTTATTACACAATGTTTTTAACTCGAAAGACCGGTTAAAGCAGAATATGTTGGCCCCGACTTCGCACCAGGTTTTACTACCCTTTCACGTTGTGCATTTCTCGCTATTTTGACTCCATCGGTTGTCCTTCTCTTTTAAACACTTGTGGGATTTGAAGTCGCTTTGATATTCTACCGTTATATTTCAGATCAACAAATATGATATAAAAGTTTCTCTTATTCTAAGCCGATTTTTACTTTGATCGAAATTTTTCATAGGCTAAAATTCAATTATGACGTTTTTCTAGCTTTTCGCTGAATTTGCTATTCTTACGTCACTCAAAAAGGCGACCATGCCTGATAACGTTACATGGAAAGAACACATCTTCTTCAAGATCATTGAAAAAGAGAGATACAGTTTGATCTTTATATATCACCTAAGAATCATCAGAGAAACAGATTCCATGACCGAATATCGTCCAATACGATATTTCTCAACTCTCGATAGTTAATTTTTAAATATTGTAAACGCCTGGCAAACCTTTAACTTTTTGGAATGGAGAAATATATATATCACATTCAATGCAGTGGTAGAATCTATATGCATACTATAAACGACTGACAATTTGCGGATTGGCCACAATCACATGCTAATGTAAACTCTGCTCCATAAATCATGTAAGACAATCATAACCTGACAGTGAATTTCAATGACATAATTTCTTATAACTGTTGCGTGCTTGATATGTGATTAATGGATGAAGTGATGTTTAACGTCCAGTGACAATTATAACAGCCATATTACGACGTGATCATGTTAATGTAATATGAATTGTACTGAACGACATAACAGATTGCCTAAGCCGTTGGAACAACATTTCGGAATTTACGTTGTTTAATTCTCGTTAACTTCGTATATGATTGGCCTTCCAACTGTTCGAGTGCCACACTGGTAGCCTCATGCAGACAAAACGCTGCGCTGGTGTACCAAATTATAAACCTGGTATTTTTATGAGTATATTACCCTACCCGGAAATATTATTCTTCCTCCGGCTCCGGACCAGTCGATAATCTTACCTGTATGAAATGTGACGCCTGGAAATGACACGGAAACCAGGCGTAGAAATTATACCTTATCCGGGCGTCATTGCAGTGTTAAAGGAATGCATTTCAAGGCGTAAACCAGGCGGAAACCAAGCGTAACAGATGCGGAAAACAGGCGTAAAATAAGGCATAATATTTAAATGAATACGCCTGGTCAATAAATAAACCAGGCATAATATCCGTTCATAATACTACACTTAATTTAAATCAGTGTATTACCCTAACTGTGTACTTTTTTATTTTGAAACAAACTTAATTGTACTGTTGCTTAAATTTCTAATTGTTTGACATAAAACTTGAAATTATTAACCATTGAAGAAGCTATATAGATAAATAAATATTAGACAAACACTAGCTCCAGTTTAAATAAGAATTATGACAATTATTTTTTCTTGAAATATTACTAGCATTTTGTCTACGTTAATGTTTTGAAAATTAATGTAACTTGAACTAAAATATCAATGATAATACTGCAGTTTAGCTTATTAAATGCGAAAGATTTTAATGTTATAATACAAGGATTAAGGTTTCCAGAATTCAAAATTACTGTTAAAAAATAAAAACTTAATAACTTAGTTTCTCACATAATTATTATTTACCATGTATACTACTTTACTTTTATTTCACAATTTTCATTTATCATTTGGTTCTATAATTCCAATTTCAAATTCTTCCAAAAACACAAAAAAAAGCTAATTATCCCTGATTATTTAAAGCTGCCATATGCCCAATACCAAAGAGCCAAATTTTGAAAAAATTTCCCTTGATCCTTTAAACAAAGCATTATGGGTATTATGTTTACGCCTTACCAACAGTTTTACGCCCGTAGGAAAATTTACGTCTTGCTTATTTCAATTTACGCCAGGTTTACCACTTTTTTCTACGCCCGTAAAGACTACAAATTTACGTTTCCTGCTCTATTACGCCTGGATCTGGGCACGTAACTACCACTTACGCCTGGTTTACGCCAGATTTCCAGGCGTAATACGCCTTATCATTTCGTATAGGTACTCCTGAATGCATCAAATGCCAATTTTCAAGTCTTTTGTTCGACGCAGCAGGTGATCGAACCAATGACCACCCTCTAGAGATAACCATGCTATCTAGAGTTGTGTATACAATTTTCTAAATCTATGGTTATTAACTTACAATTTGACTTCTTGCCAATATATGACGTTCTTTCAATATCTTCGTGGGATTCAAAAGATCCATTATCCCAATACCCTCCAAAAGTTTGAAAATCTTTTCTTCCAAAACTGTTGTACCGATGGGCCACATTACTAGCGAAAAATCTTTGTTCTATAGGAATAGGTCTACAAAGTAAAACAATCGAATATTCACATGTTGATCAGAGATCCCTCACAGAATCACTGTATTGCCCTTAGATCCTTTAAATTTGAAAACCTGCAAATTCACAAATTATTGCGTGTATTTATTATTGCGAATTTTAAAGAATGGACAAACATACGAGTTTAATTATTACGATTTGACAAAAAAAACATATAGATATATGTATTTGATATAAAAAAGTCGCATTATTAAAAACCTTTCAATAATTTCTGAATTTACAATATTTTCCACAACAATAACAACTTATCATTTAAGCTTTGTTCTTGGAAAACCGGATACCAATCTAGAAAACCGTTTAGTTAATTATACTAATTTTGGAAAGCTTAATCTGTTTTCGAGAAAAAACGGATAAGCTCTAGTTGGTTTAAAAGATACCATAAGCCCGCAGTGTAAATGGTATCTTTTTATAAGTAAGACAATACTTGGTCATGTTTTATAAATATTAAGAGCTCGATGCTTTAAATCACATTGGTGATCCAAATCATTACTGTTATGTTTGACACTATTTTTTAAAGGTGACGTTGGAAGCAACAGAACTAGTACTATACTCTGAATGATACTGTAATATGATATAATAAGTTGTAAATATAGAAGATTTATCAAGTTAAACTTTATGTTTAATGTACCCACCTATCTTGATCCTCGTCTGTATATTTTGATTTTGTTTGTTGTTGTTTGTGTCTTTTACAACAAATACATAGAAGTATAGTAAACACGAGAAGAAAGAAAACCATTGGTATGCCAACTGCTAAACCTAGTATCAAACTGTAATTATCTAAAAAATAAATAATCGAATAATGTTATAAGTACTTGCAATTGTCTGTTATCTTCCCTGTTGTTAACGTTTCATTGTCTCAAAAAGACCATGTTAATGAGACATGTTTAAATATATAACTGTCCATCCATATAGCAAACCATTCCTGTATATCTTAAAGCAGTAAATTCATCAATGCGATTCAATTTGCATTTTTTATGTATCTCGCATTTTATTTTTTGTTACGAGTAACCAGCAAAAAGGTGTGGTAAATATGATGATGAAATAAAAAAAATCGTAAACCGAACGATATACACAGTACTATGTTTCTTTTCTTAATCTTTTATAAATCATAACGACTTTTTCGTTTTCTTTCATTCAATTAAATCATCACCAGTGTTAATTCAAAATTCGAACTCGCTTTTCCCGCTCTATGATTGCCAAATTAAAGAACAAAGAGAAGGAAACATCTGTATACGTAATTCGGCCAATCAAAGCACACCTCCGTATAGGAGGAAAGTAGTTCCACCACCGATATTCATCCACTACTACTTACAAAGTGCTATATAAAATCCTTATTGCCCACACTTTTTATAATTCATTTTTTTTCATTTAAATATATATATATGTACGCCTCGACAGTGTTAAAATTTAAAACTTCATTTAATATTGTAAAAATTAAAGACTTTTAATTGAAAATTCATACAACTTACCTGTTTCTGTTATCAGAAGTCTGCAATAGAAATAAAATAGAAAATAACGTCTTGTCAAAGGAACAGGGGAATAATCCTTTTTTGTTTCTGTCTATTTTTGGTTTTGATATTCCAATTTTTGTCATTATTTGTGTTCCCAAATGTTTTGTCTCAGGTCTTCCTGGTAAAGTTTATTGCAGAATTACGAACTGACTGCATAGAACTTATATTTGAAATACTAGTATCACTGATTCGGTACCACTACTGACAGACTTACATTCGGGTTCAAAATCATTATGATACCCAATATTTAAGTAACGCTATGATTTATCTTGCAGGTTTTATCTGCTTATTTACAATTAATAATTTAAGCTATTTATACTTTAACGAAGTAACAAATCTTTCGTATAAACATGACTTTAAAAAAGATTTTCTGCTTGTAGACATTTTTTGCCTTTGTGCTCCTAAAAGTTTTATAGATTTGGCTTTTCAAGCATTTTAGCTCAATCATATTCGAGGAAACTTATTCAAGAAACACGAACGTGCTGATCAAAATTCTGAAATACAAATTGGAGCATGCAGCCAAACATACTTACGCACAATATGGAGCATCTGTAGTAGAATTAATACGGCAACCATAATTATCAGGACAGCTATTAATTTGGTTGAATGCACCACACAAGTCATCGCCTGAGCTTATTGTTGCTGAAAATTAAATTCAGTTATTAAAGACTTAGTTGGAAACAAACTGTATAAAAAGATACACGTTCTACTTCTATGTCCCTATGTTGTTATGTAAGAACTGAATTAATTTCCAATTTTCATTATACAAGACAAAGGATCGTTATGATGCTATGAAATAGTGTTTGAAAATGTTTTAAATTGATTTTATATATAAATCTTAATTTAATTTTTTGTAGTGATGCTTACCTTTACAACAGAGCACACGTATCGGATACTCTTGTGAAATCCAAGACGTTATTTGATTAGCAAATAAATTACAAAATTAAATAATATAATCAAATAAAAAAATAATAGAAAAACAATACAATAAGGACCATTGTTCATTCAAATATATGAAGTTGGTTGCAGACCTTTAGTATTATTGATATAATTAATTCAACAAAGTATCTACGGGGCACCTTAGATCACCCCGGGTTTTTTGGAGTGGAAAGTGTTGATAAGTTTTTTAGTTTTCTATGTTTTGTTTTGTTTTGTATTCTGTTATTTGCATTTTGATCCTTTTTGGGGTTTTTTTGCCATGAAATAGTCTGTTTGTTTTCGACTCATAGAGTTTGCATATCCCTTTGGTATCTTTCGCCACTCTTTTAGCGTGACATACGACTCTTTTTGTTTACATTAATCAGTATAATTGGTCTTTTTAAGAATAATTCTTAGATAATTTTTTTCATTTATTTACATTTACTTAACATCATTCATTCTAACTGAATGCTTTGGATAATCTTTTAAACAACATAACATTTTACCTGTTTCGTTATTAGACGTAACAGACGATGTCTCTGCCTCAACTGTTTCATTTCCTATTGTTAAGTTTCCATTCCCAGTGACCAAGTCGTAACCAGCTGCAATGACATCACCAGGAGAAGGTTCATCTAGATATACCTCGTACTCTGGTATCAAGCTCCCAGCTCTAACAAATGATAAACAAATAAATAATTTATGATTGCATCATTAAAACCGAAAACAATAAAAGTAATAATGCAAGAACAAACAAGATGTTGCACGTGTCGTCGTGATAAGCATGCCAACACTCTGATACAATGTATCGGAAAATAGGAAGTATGTGTCTGACAGATAACATTGTGATCACGTGTTACAACTTATCACTCCCAATCATCTGGCTAAATGTGAATTTATTTGTTGTATTTCATTTTTCAAAATGTGGAATTAAACAGATTTTCTTCAGAAACCAACACCCTTACAATTTCTTTTCGTGTGGTCTCTCCGTTTGACTATTTTGGATTTATAAATAAATTCTGAAACCTACATGTTGTCTGTGCGAGTTTGCAGTCGTGCCAGACTCCCCCAGTTTCATTAGAAAGTGCAAATACGTATATGTATATAAAATCTTGAAAAGTTGCTATACTAGTTCATTGATATGGATACGTCCATCTAATGTAATATCTTCTTACCTTATTGAAAAAAGGACTATTCTTCTAAAGGTACGTCTACATGATCTGGATCGTCTATAATAGTTCGTTAGCTATACAAATATAAATAATAAATGTTGATGAAAACGGTTACATTCATGATTACATATTAAAATACTTTTAAAATCCTTATCTATCATCACATTTCGGCCTGAAAATTTTTTAAGAACGGTGTTTGGTTAACACAGATTAAACTTATTAAGAATATTAAAGTTCAACATTATACAATGGGTGTATGATAAAGCAGGATTCGGTTAATACATAGCACCCAACATTTTGTGAATCCAATGGTTCAAACGACACAAATTTTACCATGAACTTTGTTGATCTTTGTCATATTTGTTTTTCGATTATTGTTTTGTCATAAATCAGACCATTTGTTTTCTCTTTGAATTGTTTCACATTTTTAAGATAAAAGTAAAAAAGGAACAAATCTTATTCCGTTCTTTATTCGATACTTATATAAATTCCTTTGGTTAGGATTTATATCTTAATTTCTTACCGCTATGAAAACCTGGTTGAAAAGACGTCGATATCCCTGAGTAGTTGTATCGGTAAGACTGATCGTAATTGTGATCCTAATCCGAAGTCTGCATCTGTATCTGTACTCGGTGGTGACAGCTATGAAAGAGAGCATACATGATGATACATCTTGTCGATTACCAGTAAATGAATAAAACAGGACTGTTAATGAAATTGAATACTGTAAATTCAGAAATGTTTGCGATTTTTTTATTTATGCAACAATTGGGACGGTATAGGTTTCGCAAACATTAAAACTTGCATCTAAATTTTCATAGCATTATTTGATTTCAGCATTTCTTAAAATTGCAATAATCAATCTCGCATTTTTGTTTTTGTTTTACAATTGTAATAAGAAATACACGCAAACATTCTTCAACTTTCATTCATAATTTGGAAGTTTTACGTGAAAACATGTTTCAGTCAATCAATCATTCAATCAATCAATGGATATATGAATCTGTTTATCTAGACTATACTTGAATCGATGTCAGTAATACAGTTTTCAGGACATTTTTACATTCTTTTAAAAAATATGCTTAAGTGCAATTGCCCATGAAACTTATTATTTTCTTCGACATCTATCTTTAACACGGGGTTTCATTAAAACATTTGCTTGTAAAATAATTTGAAGAATATTATCTTGCATTTATATGAACAACTATATTTACGAGACACTACTCAAGGGTTAGTAATACAAACAACACTTGAAGGAAATACAGTTGTGAAAGATATAACATATAAAAATCCACACCATTGATGACATATTCAATAAATCAAATCAATAAAAAATTTTTATAACTGATGACTCGCTTAATACAAATTCTACATCTTTAAATTTTAATACTTACAAGGTTGAGATGTTGTCGTTGTGGGCTTAGTTGTCGTTGTTGTAGGCTGAACTGCAGTAGTAATTTCCTCAACTGTTGTAGGTTGAACTGTAGTGTTAGTTCTTTCAGTTGTTGTAGGCTGAACTGTTGTTGTCATTTGTTCAGTTGTTGTAGGCTGAACTGTTGTTGTTTGTTCAGTTGTTGTAGGCTGAACTGTTGACGTTTGTTCTGTTGTTGTAGGCTGAACTGTAGTAGTAATTTCTTCAGTTATTGTAAATTGCACTGTTGTTGTCATTCCTTCAGTTGTTGTAGGCTGAACTGTAGTTGTCGTTTGTTCAGTTGTTGACGGCTGGACTGTTGTCGTTTCCTCAGTTGTTGTAGGCTGAACTGTTGTTGTTGCTTGTTCAATTGTTGTAGGATTTACTGTGGTGGTAGTTTGTACAGTTGTTGTAGGCTGAACTGTTGTTGTGTGTTCAGCGGTTGAAGGATGAAATGTAATGGTAGTTTCCTCAGTTGTTGTAGGCTGAACTGTAGTCGTTTGTTCAGTTGTTGATGGTTGAACTGTTTTCGTTTGTCCAGTTGTTGTTAGCTGAACAGGTGTGGTAGTTTGTTCAGTTGTTGTAGGTTGAACTGTAGTGGTCGTTTGTTCAGTTGTTGTAGGCTGAACTGTAGTGGTAGTTTGTTCAGTTGTTGTAGGCTGAACTGTAGTGGTCGTTTGTGCAGTTGTTGTAGGCTGAACTTTAGTTGAAGTTTCTTCAGTTGTTGTAGGCTGAACTGTAGTGGTCGTTTCTTCAGTTGTTGTAGGCTGAACTGTTGTTGTTTGTTCAGTTGTTGTAGGCTGAACCGTAGTGGTAGTTTGTTCAGTTGTTGTAGGTTGAACTGTAGTGCTAGTTTTTTCAGTTGTTGTAGGCTGAACTGTAGTTGTCGTTTGTTCAGTTGTTGTAGGTTGAACTGTGGTGGTAGTTTGTTTAGTTGTTGTAGGCTGAACTGTAGTTGTAGTTTCTTCAGTTGTTGTAGACTGGACTGTTGTCATTTGTTCAGTTGTTGTAGGCTGAACTGTAGTGGTAGTTTGTTCAGTTGTTGTAGGCTTAAATGTTGTCATTTGTTCAGTTGTTGTAGGCTGAACTGTAGTGGTAGTTTGTTCAGTTGTTGTAGGCTGAACTGTTGTTGTTTGTTCAGTTGTTGTAGGCTGAACCGTAGTGGTAGTTTGTTCAGTTGTTGTAGGCTGAACTGTAGTGCTAGTTTTGTCAGTTGTAGGCTGAACTGTAGTGGTCGTGTCTTCAGTTGTTGTAGGCTGAAATGTTGTCGTTTGTTCAGTTGTTGTAAGCTGAACCGTAGCGGTAGTGTGTTCAGTTGTTGTAGGTTGGACTGTAGTGCTAGTTTTTCCAGTTGTTGTAGGCTGAACTGTAGTTGTCGTTTGTTCAGTTGTTGTAGGTTGAACTGTAGTGGTAGTTTGTTCAGTTGTTGTAGGCTGAACTGTAGTTGTCGTTTCTCTAGTTGTTGTAGGCTGAACTGTAGTGGTAGTTTGTTCAGTTGTTGTAGGCTGAACTGTTGTCGTTTTTTCAGTTGTTGTAGGATTTACTGTAGTGGTAGTTTGTTCAGTTGTTGAAGGCTGAACTGTAGTGGTCGTTTGTTCAGTTGTTGTAGGATTTACTGTAGTTGTAGTCTGTTCAGTTGTTGTAGACTGTACTGTAGTGGTAGTTTGTTCAGTTGTTGTAGGTTGAACTGAAGTGCTAGTTTTTTCAGTTGTTGTAGGTTGAACTGTAATGGTAGTTTGTTCAGTTGTTGTAGGCTGAACTGTAGTTGTCGTTTCTATAGTTGTTGTATGCTGAACTGTAGTGCTGGTTTGTTCAGTTGTTGTAGGCTGAACTGTTGTCGCTTGTTCAGTTGTTGTAGGATTTACTGTAGTTGTAGTTTGATCAGTTTTTGAAGGCTGAACTGTAGTGGTCGTTTGTTCAGTTGTTGTAGGATTTACTGTAGTTGTAGTTTGTTCAGTTGTTGTAGACTGTACTGTAGTGGTTGTTTCTTCAGTTGTTGTAGGCTGAACCGTAGTGGTAGTTTGTTCAGTTGTTGTAGGCTGAACTGTTGTCGCTTGTTCAGTTGTTGTAGGATTTACTGTAGTGGTAGTTTGTTCAGTTGTTGTAGGCTGAACTGTAGTTGTCGTTTCTTCAGTTGTTGAAGGCTGAACTGTAGTGGTCGTTTGTTCAGTTGTTGTAGGCTGAACTGTAGTTGTCGTTTGTTCAGTTGTTGTAGGCTGAACTGTAGTTGTCGTTTGTTCAGTTGTTGTAGGATTTACTGTAGTTGTAGTCTGTTCAGTTGTTGTAGACTGTACTGTAGTGGTAGTTTGTTCAGTTGTTGTAGGTTGAACTGAAGTGCTAGTTTTTTCAGTTGTTGTAGGTTGAACTGTAATGGTAGTTTGTTCAGTTGTTGTAGGCTGAACTGTAGTTGTCGTTTCTATAGTTGGTGTATGCTGAACTGTAGTGGTAGTTTGTTCAGTTGTTGTAGGCTGGACTGTTGTCGCTTGTTCAGTTGTTGTAGGATTTACTGTAGTGGTAGTTTGTTCAGTTGTTGTAGGCTGAACTGTAGTTGTCGTTTCTTCAGTTGTTGAAGGCTGAACTGTAGTGGTCGTTTGTTCAGTTGTTGTAGGCTGAACTGTAGTTGTCGTTTGTTCAGTTGTTGTAGGCTGAACTGTAGTTGTCGTTTGTTCAGTTGTTGTAGGATTTACTGTAGTTGTAGTTTCTTCAGTTGTTGTAGGCTGAAATGTAGTTGTCGTTTGTTCAGTTGTTGTAGGATTTTCTGTAGTGGTAGTTTGTTCAGTTGTTGTAGGGTGAACTGTAGTGGTCGTTTGTTCAGTTGTTGTAGGCTGAACTGTAGTTGTCGTTTGTTCAGTTGTTGTAGGATTTACTGTAGTTGTAGTTTCTTCAGTTGTTGTAGGCTGAAATGTAGTTGTCGTTTGTTCAGTTGTTGTAGGATTTACTGTAGTGGTAGTTTGTTCAGTTGTTGTAGGATGAACTGTCGTTTCTTCAGTTGTTGTAAGCTGAACTGTTGTAGTTGTTGCTAATGTTGTTGTCGTAGTAGGAGTAGTTGTTGATGTTGTAGTTGTTGCAGGAGTAGTTGTTGATGTTGTTGTTGGAGGCGCACACGAGGCACAGCATTCAGTTGGTACACTTGCACAATTATTGGGCGCTTCTCTCACCATATCTTCACAAGTCCAACCATTGTTAAAAATTGCGCCATTTCGATCTCCATAGAGACAGGTCTCTAAAATTTCAAAGAAATATCTGATAGAAATGATAAAGAAAACTCATGTGACAAGAAAGCACTGTACAAATTTTACTTGTATCAATATGTGAGAACTGCAGGTACATTTCTTGTTAAATATATTCAATTATGTTTACCGAATGCGATGATAATGGTAAGGAAAAACATAGACTTGAACTTGTTTTTTAAAAACTATAAAATATTCAATGTGAGAGAGGTTTAAACAGACTAGTTTGTCCAGAGTCAAACTAATGGTCCCAAGTAGAGAGACATGTCTTCCCGCTGAATAAGTATAACAAAAATTCTACTCAGTGTGTAGGTGTTGTACAAAAGAGAGGCGAAACATACCAAAGGGATTTTCAAACTCATAAATCGACAACAAACTGACAATGCCATGGCAAAAACCGAAAAAAGACAAAAAGACAAACAGTACACAAAACTTAAACATAGAAAACCAAAGTCTGAGCAACAAGAACCCCACCAAAAACCGGGGATGATGTCAGATGTTACGGAAGGGTAAGCAGATCCTGCTCCACATGTGGCATCTATTGTGTTGCTCATGTAAGTACCCGGTGAAAAGACTAATTTCGTCGGTCACAATCGATGAAAAGAGGACGGGATTGTGGTTACGACAAATGGAATATATCCGTCGTCATCTGTGCAACAGATATTCCATAACAGACAGCCAACCGACTCGTAATGGCGTCCGTAAAATATTCGAAGGGAAGATTTCAACTTCTCCACTTGAAACTCTTGGTTCAATAGCTACCGTGGTTTGTATTCAACCAAATCAAGATGTTTTGCCACTGGAAGTTAATCACCAATCCATCACATCATTATCATCGTCTATTTAGTAAATACAAAAAATAGAAATAATCTGCACTTACCGTCTCCAACAGGGGCATTTGAATCAGACGTGCACACTCCAGATATACACCACTGTAACGAAATAATTCATATTTAGGATAATCATTTGAAAATTTATTAGATACTGTCAATTCCAAAATTTCTTTTATTATAAGTAGAATAAAATGCAACAGATTTATCAGTGTATTAATTAGTAGATTTTGGATCATAGACCACCCCTCTTCGAGCTCCTCTTAAACATATGTGTAAACTTGTATTTAAATCAACTCGTCCTAACGTAAGTAATTACATCTGATTTATTACCTATAAGATAGTTTTATTCTGTTTTAATTCATTTTCATTTTTTATTGACTATGACCTGAAGCCTAAATTAATTTCCCAATTAATCACATAGAATTTACCGACGAAGGATTAATTGAGCTTTCCACATATGCAAATGATTGATTGATTGTTGGTTGCTTTACGCCGCATTAGCACAACAAGGCTATATCGCGGCGACATATGCAAATGAACTTTTGTTCGTAATTTGTAGGTACAGAATAAAAATATTGTTCTGTCCGTCTAGTGAATACTTGATTCGAGAAACAAATTATTATTTGTTTAATTAAATTTACTTTCAAAAAAAGATAATGATGCATACACTACCATATTTTGCGGTATTTTTGTTACTATTTTCTAACTTGGTCATTTTAATTGAGTCTGGTGTCCATTGGCAAATGATTTATGCATAGCAGGAGATGCTTACTCTGTCGACTAAACATGTCACACTCCCCCCCCCCTTTCCCATCGTGTTTGTATATATATTTACACTGTTTAAACATCGGTAAACAACTGATTCTCATATCTCTATGGTAATTTTATATCTTTTAAAGTTGCCAATGAAACTTTGCACTGAACTCGATGTCTTCTTGCAATTGGTCATCATGTGCTCACATATGGAACGGATTATTTGAATGGTTCAAATACATTTTTCAATTGTCCAAAGAAGAAAGACAATTGACAAATTTCCATTCGAATGTTTCGCCTAGACGTGCTAAGATATAATTCTAATGACAAACCTTTTGATTTCCACAGAGTGTGTAGTCAGTACCACTATATGTAAAACACGTATTTGTATTTGGTTCAGCACAGTAAAGTTGCGTACATATTGAAGAATAATCTCCGTTGTAGAAGTACTGAAATAAAGATAATTATAATAAACAGAACAGTTGAAACTCTTAGGTTTTTCTACCACCCGGCATCTTTTGCCCTGATCGTACTTGGTAAAAAATTTGGAGTTTTCGGTTTGTTCTTCTCCCCAACTTGATATTTGATTTATTCTTCAAACTGTTTTGTTTCAGCGCCGATGATGAGACGTATTTTGATGGAACGCGCTTCTGTTGTACTGAATATTTAGCCCGGTATCTTTAACGAGTTTATACAATACAGAGCAGTTCTCGCTAACACTAAGGTCTTAAATGCAATTGTATTTTAAACAACTCAATTGTAGCTAGTAAGTAGGTTATATTATTTTGTTCATCTAGTAAAATCCAAATTATATGCACAAGACTTATTGATATAAAAGCAATTCCATAAAACAGATATCCAAAATACTCAGAATGTTTTGCCGTCGTTTTAAAATTCTACAAGATAACTGTTGAAATGTTTGCTTCATCTAAATACTTATCCCAATTCAGAAATTTTCTTTGTTCATATGTCTTAGTTTTAGCCTATAACATCGCCTTGGCGGAGAGCATAGTTTCGGTTTGATTTTTTCAATGGACATATTCTCTTATTTGGGTTTGAACTTTTAATTCTACGATACTATATAGTCCATTATGTGTAAAAGTGGACGAAGTTTGGATTATTACATTGACTATTGCTCTTATTCTTCCCAATATACAATTTTGCGGGAAATCGTATCATCCCTTCTGACGTTTTATGACAAAATCTTGTGTAAAAACAAACACATGAAAGGATTACTCCGCATACTGGAGTACAGAAAGTAAAGATTTAATAAAAATGTTAATAGATATAAGAAGATGTGGTATCAGTGAAAATGAGACAACTCTCCATCCAAGTCACAATTTGAAAAAGTAAACCATTATAGGTCAAAGTACGGTCTTCAACACGGAGCCTTGACTCACACCGAACATCAAGCTACAAAGGGCTCCAAAATGACTAGTGTAAAACCATTCAAACGGGAAAACCAACGGTCTAATCTATATAAAAAACGTAAATCGAGAAACACTTATGGACCACATCAACAAACGACAACTACTGAACATCATATTACTGACTTTGGACAGGTGCAAACAAATGCAGCGGGTTCAAACGTTTTAATAGGTACCCATCTTCACCCTTATCTGAAACAATAGTGTAACATCAAAACATAGAAAGACACACTATAAAATATCAATTGAAATGGCTTAACTCAATCAAAAGACATATTAACACAAGTGAACATACCTTGAACGAAAAATGTTGATCTATGACACAATGTAAATACAAAATCAATAAAATAAGGGGTATGATGTTAAACAATTTCAGAAAAACAGCCATAATCTTGAACAAAATGCCACCAAATAGAATAATGTACACAGGTAAATGAAAATAATTTTTTTTGTAAGGTATACAGTATAAATGGAGAACGAAATTTTTTTTTACAATATAAATAATTTTGTTGTTCATAGTACGAGAACAGAAGTGAAAATTTATAGTCCTACCAAACACTTATCAAAACTGGTATATATCAAAAATAGAGAGACGAGATATAACCCTAAATAAGTAAACATTAAATAACAAAAAAGCATTACAAATTGTATCAACAGGTCAAATTAACAAGAAAGTACGATTTTAAAAGCCAAAAACAATTAATAATAAAAAAATCATGCATTAGAGACTAAAATCAACTAAAACACACCCCAGGGATTTAGTATTTTAACGTCATGGATAGTCAAAGAAGACATGATGACTTGTGCAATGCCAAAAATAAAAGTATCGGCTTAAGTCTAATATAAGGTTTTCCATCCGATGCAGTGAACAATGTTCATATGATAGGTGTACACGAGACAAACATTCAAGAAAGATAAAGAGACAAATATATAATTAGAAATATAACCAATTAAAAGCTCACTGCTACAAATACAAGATAGCGTTTATATATTTATACACTTAACAATATAGACTCACCCTACACATATGTGACCCTGTACCACGATTTTGTACACACTGCTGATCAGCATCGTTAACCTGGCTCTGAGTTGTCGTGGTTGATAATGTAGTGGTAGTTGGTCCAGGTGTAGTAGTAGTTGTTGACGTTGTTGGTCCAGGGGTAGTGGTTGTTGATGATGTAGTTGGTCCAGGGGTAGTGGTAGTAGTTGTCGTTGTGGTTGACGTGGTTGTTGAGTCGGAGCAAGAATAACAACAAGACTGACCAACATATTGACAATAAAAAGCTTTATTTTCAGTTACTAAATCTAGACATGTTCTTCCATCGCTGTAGATTGCACCCTTTTTGTCACCATATAGGCAATTATCTAAACATTCAAATCATCGAAGTTTTGACTGATGTTTCAAAGCAATAAAGATACTTTTCAATTTCTATCTATCAATATTTTATTTTGAGTTGCTATCTGTAGATTTCTACCTTTCGTTTACCCATCGCACCTTTTGAAATGAAAGCGATTCCCTTAAGAATTGTTTGTTTTCTATTATTTATAACTTCTCAATCAATTTATGACATTTGAACATCGGTAAACTACTGTTGACTCAACTTAACATTGTTTTCCTTTCGTTTTTATTAAAAATTTGTTTGATGAAGAATTAGTTCAATTTTATATGTACTGCCCGTTCGATGGCAACATACAAATTCATTGTTCGATCAATAGTTATTTGCAAGTGAATCTTGCATTCGCTGTGTGTTGGTCAACTTTATTCAATATGTGAGAAGTTGAATGATATAATACTAGTATGATAGAAATGGGTGTTAAAATAATGTCGATAACGTGTCTTGCCATTCGGCAAACCTCGGTATTATACACTGAACTGAAAGGTACCGGATCTACTGAGGTTTGACCATTGTTTTCTATCACGTAACTGTTACAGATGGTGCACACATTACTAGCACGTTGTGAACGGATCAGACAAGAACATTTGTTAACTCAAAGCGGACTGACAATATTTGAACGATATTTATGGGCATTAGATTGTTGAGTGGAGACGTCTCAACACATCATGAATACAACTTATTTTCAGTAAGCATATAAAAAGTAATATAAATATAAAAATTCATAGTAATGTAACACACGTCAAGAAACATATGAATTTCCACATTCAATGCTGGAGGCTGAAATATTTGAAAATCCAAAACGTATTTGAAAATTAAAAAGGCTGATTGACTTTTTAGTATTTTATAAAATAGAAGATTATATGTCGATGGCATAACGATCTTTTTCCATTTCTGTTTTTTTTTTTTAATTTTCAAATCCTATGAATCATATTGTTATCTTGTAATATCAATAACTTACCATCTCCAGACGGAGCGTTGACATCAGACACACATACTCCAGTTTTGCACCACTATATATAATAAATTAAATAAATGTGTTACTATAGCATGATTTAAGTGGGTTGTCCACTTTTTTAAATTTTTGCAAAAACCGACTTTTACGAATGAAATTTGAATTTTCTTGCGATCAGATTTACTCATTACGTCAAACATGTTAATATACATCATGCTTTTCTGTTTTTGAATATGTTTATGAATTTCAAATATTTTGATCTCAAACATCACCGAAGAGACAGTTTTTGTCGAAATGCGCATTTGGTGCAGTAAAATTGTGGACATAATATTTGAAAATCCATAACCTAATACAATGAGCTGATAAAACTAAAGAGAACTATATGTAACGCCAAACCCGGATAAGAACTCTGAGCAATACACGAGGAAGATACATTCCCCAATGTGAAATGCTTTCCAAAGTTTCATAACAGCAAATGGTAATAAAACAATTTCTATTTTGTCATGCTAAATAAGAGCTGATAAAACCAAAACCAACTACATGTTAAGCCAAAACCGGATAAGGATCCAAAGTTTTATAACAACAAATTGTAATGAAACAATAAATGTTTAAATGCCAGGTACGAAATACTGTCTACTTGGCTGGTGATTCCCTCATGAACTGATCATATCATTTGGAGAAGATCGTTCATTTACTTACGAGAAGTTTGAATTACAGTTTTATGGCAAAAGACGAGTATTTTTTCGCAAGACATTTATAAAGTGTTCTTTTCATTTTTTTTAACATTTTTAACAATTTTAGATAACCTTACAGTTATATGCAATTACTGGCAGTTGTGTGTTTATGTAATGGATACATTCAACAACAAATTAAACAGCAGAGAAGATGACAAATGCTCTTTAACTTCGGACTTAATTTGGCTTTTTAACTTTTTTATTCGAGCGTCAATGATGAGTCTTTAGTAAAAGAAACGCGCGTCAGGTTACACAGTTTAAACCTGGTATCTGTGATGAGTTTAAATTCGCATTCACCTTACTTCAAGAATAGTGATCGGTGTTCTTTTTTACATTGTTCTCTTGAAAACACGCGTTAGGTTAAACGTTTGATCTGAATACAAGGGTTTTTAAATTTTCTGTGTGGTATTTCACATAAATGTAGAACCAAAGGCTTGTGTGAATGGTGTTTATTCATAGGCGTTGTTTTATTTGCTTAGCACATACTCTTTAATCCTTAGAACAACAAACATATTAAAATAAAAATATTTTGAAATATAAACGTTAATTTTATTTTCTTTTGATTTTTATACAGTAGAATAAGTTTTTGATATAAACCTTAACCATATGTTATTAATTCTGTTATTACAACATATTAAGTATATATTATTCTTTAATATTTTTAAAAAGTTATAAGCAAATATTAATACGGTCCTAGTTTTATCTTTCTTCCAATATTTGTGTAACAGTAGACGATATCAATTACGATAGCACAAAACGGGATTGTATATTACTTAAACTTTTACTTTTTAATAAGTATATACCCACCTGGCATGTTAGAACTGTACATATTGATATACGATTAAATATTTAATGAAAATGGAACGTCACAAGGAAAGTAAAATGGCAGGTTACAAGGTCACATTACAATGTATCCCCCTCGTGTAAAACGCTGAATCCTTGTCCGTGTAAGGGTATAATTTTTATCCTTGTCGGTCATATTAGGTTTTCATAGTGTGTATTACCACTGGAATTTAAGCAACCAACGATTAATCAATCAAAGAGTGAAACATGTTTGGATTTACAAAAAGATTGGCATCAAACATCACTGATGAGACATTAATTGTTGAAATGCGCGTCTAGTGCAGAAATATTGGTATCGTGTAAAGTTATCACAAACCAAAAAAAATATAGAAATATATAATGGTTGTGTATTTTAAAACAGTTACGATAAACAGACCAATATGTATTTGTAAGCTAAATCCTGTGAGTGTTCCATTTTCGTTTAACATCGCGATTATGTTAAAAATGTAAAATATTATCCCTCGCGTAAATATGAAATGTCTTTACGAAAGACCAGAATCAAACACTTGTCAAAACGTAAAATAAAACACTGCGAAGAGGTGCAGCAATGGAAATCGCAAAATTTAAGATCTGAGAAAACAAACTAATTTACAGTACCATTACATCAGTAATGTAAAACAAGATTGTCTATAAATGCAACATTCATTTAATATATATCTGAAGGAAACAGTACAAAAGTAACACGAGTTGGTTGACCGTTATGAAATATCCATTTCACAGATAATAACAGAATGATATATTCAAATTGTCGTAATTACAATAATGTCCCCTTTTCCCCAAATGTGACCTATCGAATTAGCCTTATCACCGGGTTTGTACTAACATGAGCAACACGACGGGTGCCAAATGTGGAGCAGGATCTGTTTACCCTTTTAGAGCACCTGAGATCACCCCCAGTTTTTGGTGGGGTTCGTGTTGCTCAGTCTTTAGTTTTCTATGTTGTGTTTTGTGTACTGTTGTTTGGCTGTTTGTCTTTTCTTTTTTAGCCATGGTGTTGTCTGTTTAATTTCGACTTATGAGTTTGAATGTCCCTTTGGTATCTTTCACCTCTCATTAAAAATCTGTATTTTTTATAAGCATTTTTTTATATTTAGATTATTGTTGTGTTGATGCGACATGGCCTATAATACTTGTACTGAGACGTTGCCGTTTGGTGTTGCGTTTCACGCGGCAACCTGGATACTGAAAATGCCAGTTTTTTTTAATTATAAGAAATGTACTTCGTAAATAAAGGGAATATCATATAATCTGAATATCCATTAGATAGAAAATAACATAATGCATTGATTAGAAGTACAAATTAGAGTGCAAATCAGAAAGCTCTAAAGATAGATAGAGTCTGTTCTATACTCGAGAGTGTACCTTGATTGAACATTGATTTGTAGCAGATAGGTCCCCATTTCACATTTCAAGCTTTTTTATACACGTAAAAGAGAGGCGAAAGACAACAAAGGGATACTCAAACTCACAAGTTGAAAACAAATGACAACTCCATGGCAAAAAAACGAAAAAGACAAAAATAAAACAATTAACTTGCATATAAATGTATTTCTATGATTTAAGAGTATGTCTTCTTAACCAATCGTGTGGTCTGTACAATGTATAGGGAATAAACGTGACAGGTTTAGTTATTACATACCTTTTTATTACCACAAAGCGTGCCATCACCTCCTATATTCGTATTACAGTACCCATTTCCAGATGGATCAGCACACCATAACACCGTACACACAGTAGTAAAATCACCATCATATCGATCCTGAAAATAGTTTTTTTAAACACTAGCAATAATAATACAAATTACCAAAATCAGTTTTTAAAGTGAAACAATTAAACTAAAATTTTCAAAAACAATGTAAGTATATAAAATCCCTTGTCAGGTTTCTCTTTTTCGTATTCCAAAAAAAAACGTATTTATGTAGAAATTAAAAGTTGCAGTTTCTGTGGTTATCAGATACAGAGAAGTACTTTTTCAAATTATCGACTTTGTTTCCAATTATATGATTTTCGGCAAAGGAAAAAAATCTTATGTACGATATAATGTATCCATGTATATGCTACGTAATAAGAACCCGTATGGTTTATTGTCTTTGTCTAAAATCTATCAGAAACTTTGAACAGCGGTTGCCATTAGTTATATCATAATGTGTTTTTGCTTTATGTAACATGGTGTTGATTTAAGTGCTTAATTGGTTTAATTCTTTCACATTTTTTCCATAACTTGAAGAGTATGAAGCTTTGCAGGCATCATGTAAATACATTTGCGTATTGTCTATTGTTGAGGACCTGCATCATGTACAGACACTAGCATTTTGTTGTGGACCTGCATCATGTATAGACACTTGCGTATTATATATTGTTGAGGACCTGCATTATGTATAGACACTTGCGTATTGTATATTGTTGAGGACTTGCATCATGTATAGACACTTGCGTATTGTATATTGTTGAGGACCGTATATTCAACATTGACGTCTAGATGTTTAATAATTTTTGGTCAATGGGATTGCTGTCTAATGGATGTTTACGTAAGAACTCATTTATTGTTAGAACGGGTATTTACTTGATCAATTCTACAATCTAAGACACCGATAATTCATCTTTTGTTGAAGTGGAGGGGGATGTGGTGGCTATTAAAAAATTATAGATTCTGAATTTCTTGAAAAAATATTGATTTGTTTCAGAAGGGAAGTGAAAAAACGAAGAAATATTTTCTTTAAAAATAAGGGGAGAAGTAAGAACGCTACTCAATTTAAAAATAAACTTATTATTCCTGCATTTAATAGAAATATTTACGTGTCAATATAAATTCTTCTCACTAGAACAAAACCCATGATCCCGAAAAAAAGATGGATGATCGTTGCTTAATATAGAGTCGTGGAACATATCGTTTTAACCTACACTGCAGAAAGATGATCCACTTCCACGAATCTGTACACATTGTTCATCTGCTGAAAATACTTGTCCTGCTAGTTGTTGGTCATAAGGTGTTAGTCCAGTAGGGTCAAATCCTGCACTTAATATCTTCATACAATTATTTCCCGCTCTGTAAATATATACTTATTTTTATTCATTGTGGACATTAAAATCATAAGAAATAGTCTCGCGGTTTGATTTAAAGGGTGTTAATAAAATTCATAACGGGTGTGCTTCAAGAGATACATTCATAATAGAAAACTACATTCCTCCAAAACCAGCTTTTAAATTCCCATATTGAGCAAAAGGTCTTCTTTCGTATGCCACTTCTGGAGTGCTTGATGAGGTAATATATTTAAACTTAAACGTTATTTTTATTATAAGTTCCGGTTTAATTGTTTTTATGCAGTGCTACGACTATTGTTAACTCATTTTTCTTTGTCTGCAATGCTGTTAGTATTACTCAATTTGTAGCTTTCTTGTCTTTTGTTGTTTTAAGTAGAAAGAAATTTAAACAAAGACCAAATTGTTAAAAAAGCTGACAGGTTGGTATGTAGATTTTAAAATTAGTTTTGTTTAAACGAAATATATAACATGACAAAAAAATAATCGAATATCAAATAATTACTTACGAATCCAATGAATTTATGTAATTCGTAAAATAAGAAGTTGAACATGTTGAAAATATCCATGGATGTGTAGCAGTGGCTGCGTCGGTCTGTGGACTGACCCCAGACGCCATGATATAGGCATCACTACCACTGCAGGCATTTCCGGTACCGTCATGTTCTGCACTAAAACTGTAATACACAAAGATACCAGTAGAATTGCTTGGAGGTAAAGCGCTTCCATTAGCACGAATTAAAAACAAACGGGATTCACATCTAATACAGAGGCACTTAATCAAAATCCGAACAATTGTGGAGTAATGAAATATATAATATTTTTGCACATGTGGAGCAGGATCTTCGTACCCTTCCGAAGCACCTGAGATTTTTTGTTGTTGGTTGGCGTTGCTTAGTCTTTAGTTTTTAGTCTTTAGTTTTCTATATTGTGTTTTCTGTAAGTCGTTTTTCGTTTTTTTGCCATGGCATTGACAGTTTGTTTTCCACTTATCTTTCTGAATATCCCTTTGGTATCTTACGTCTCTCTTCTGTCTTAGTTTATAACCAGCATAAATTAACACACATAGACTTTCGAATCTCTCACAGTTAAATTCTGCATCGGGAACAAGGCGACATAGTTTCGATTTATGCAACGAGAAATTGAGACTACAAGGAAGAATTTAGAGTTCTTATATGACACATTCACTCCGTTATAGTAGCCTTACTCACACAATCACTCCGTTATAGCAGCCTTACTATTTTTACCGACTTTTTCTCGTTTTAATTGTTTCACATTATGTCATGCCAGGGCTTTTTATAGCTGATAATACGGTTTATATTTTGCTCATTGTTGAAGGCCGTATGGTGATCTTTAGCTTCTTACATCCAGGTCATTCGGACTTTGATTAATAGTTGTCTGATTTTGTCTCGTATGCAATTATATGACATCCCCATAATTTTATACGAAAATAGTCCAATTAAAAATAAAGATTTTTGTAATATATCAGTATAGAATTCATGCATGTTTTAATCCCAGGTAAAAAGATAAACTGAGTTCTTTCACTCATTCATCCAATTCCATTTGTCAGTTCACCAATTTCCCGTTTGTATTTTAATACAACCATCTCAAATTTACCCAACCATCCAACGCTTTTCACTTGTTTATCCATCACTTATCTTCCATTCGTTCATCTTTTTCCAACTTATTATCGAAGATCATATAAAATTTGTTTACTATTTCTTATCTTGACCTAGTATGTTATATCATTGTTTATTTCCACATTATTTGGTCCCTCGTGGATTGTTGTCCCACTGTCGACCATACCACATCTACTTATTTAAGGAATGACTGTAATATTTTTTCTGTCTATGAAGAAATAACATAAAAAATGTGGTGCACACTGAATAACCCGCGTAGCACCACATTTTTGAGGTTATTTCGAAAAGATAGAAAAAAAATTACAGTAATTCCTTTTAATTTAATTCAAAATTCCATTTTTAAGGAGTAAATCACAAAAAAACGTTGATGACGTCACGATCACATGACAAAAGTATGTCTATGAGTATGAGCTGATAAACAAAAAACTTTAAGCCAATCAAAAGACGTGTAACGTCCAAAATTAAATTATTATTATATTTTACCAATGTCCCAATTCGTGTGCTGCCACGGATATGATAACGAAGTTGAATCCATCTTCCACAATAGACTGACTACTGCTAGTACAGACTCGACCTACATATGCAAGTCCTGTAAAATACCAAATGTAAAATTAATTCAGTTTCGTCTGATATAGGGGAGTTTGAACAGATATATCATGTGCAAGAGGTATATGTGCCAAAAATGAAAGTCGAGAGAAGTAAAATTTTCTGAGCATCAAGTTGAAGCAAATTTCTTCTCAAGACAGTATCATTACACCTCCTGAACATGATGTAAGAAGCGGTGAGCATTTAATATAGCGCATCGATGATCAAGCGTATCCGTGAAGGGTAAAATACGTTATATTTGATTTCCCAAATAACACGACAAAGAGGGTTAAAAGGAGATATGACTTTGAATATACACAAGTGGTATTGAAATATGAACATAATTCATAAGACAAATGAAAATATATGGAAAATGCAACCAATCAAAATCAATGATTCTTAACAAGGTGAAATCTATACTACTAAAGGAAGACATCGATTTCGTTAAGCCGTAACTCCTCTGAAACCATACAAAGTCGGAAATATTTGTGATATGACGTATAAATGTAGTTTTTTGTACTTCCTAAATTTGTCTTTGAAACAATCTTTTTTCTACAGAAAACGCAAATTTTTGAGAAAATATCCAAATTCGGAGACCGTTATCGATTCTTGTGTTATACGCTTTCGCACATGCTCAGTCGACGTACTGCCCGCGAAATCTATAATACTAAAATAACAAGGTCATGAACTTCGTCATTATACAGGGCTTAATGCTACTAAATTCAATCTTTGTCACATGAATTTTCGGGTTGCAGTAAGAAACCAGGACGGGTTAAAACAGAAAGATTTTGATAGCAGAGAAAACTATGCGCCTTATAATCAGCACGACTTAATCAGATGACAATACGAATACTAAAAATCCAGGCTTCAAATAAGGCGTACATGTAGGTACTTTGAATTAGTCACGGATCCGCGATGTCGCAGGTGTTTTCTAGTTAATACAATACTTAAGTCCGATATCTTCGGACACAGTTTACTGCAAAATATAATGTATAAAGATAAGAATGTTGGATATAGGCCACTACTGTAAAGATAGTACACAAAGTTAGGCAAGACCTGTCATACAAGGTCAAGGCGTGTCCTATCTAACACCACGTGCAAAGTTGGACCAAACATATTTAATACGAGCAAATTATCAGGATTAATTTCGATCGAAGAATTTTATACAGATTAAAATCCAATTTTAAACGTTGATTTTAGCCATATACCACTTGTCTTTCAATATCTGTCCTAATTACACTTTCCATAAGAATGCTGGTTTTTGATTGGTTGATATCCGGTGTATGTTTCATGTATTTAAAACTTAATGAATATCGTTAATTTTTCGTCGCTGCCGGAGTAGATGCACAGGAATAATATATTTTATACTATCTATGCAGTGGTATTTACCAAAACGTATGGCTTTTTTTACCATTCACGTAGATGCTTTATCATTTGTGCGTTTTATCAAATACAGCTGTATTTTTTTGGCTATTTCTACCAACGTCTTGATACCGAAGGAATAATATAATTAAATCAAATGTTTTAACTTAACCATTCGTATTCGGTGTAATTAAACAGACATTTCATGTTCAGGAGGGGTATTTGTGAATAAAACCAGTCTTTAGCAGCTCTGGATAATTTGCCTTCTCTAGACTGGAATTTGTTTTGGGGGGTATTACCTTAAATGTCTTTGAAGAAGACAAAAACAAAGCAAAGCCTTCTGGCTAAATGTAGTCGGTCTTCAGTATTTTAGATGTGTTCGTATTGAGATCATAATAAAATCGTGGAAATTAGAAAATAATTATCATTCAAACATTGGTATTTTATTTCTTGCCAATAATGAATTTATTTAATAATCAACACCGTACATCACAAATTCTAATGCATTTTACTGTGTTTTCTATCTTTGTAAGGTTCTAGTGTACATTCTACATTTTTCTTTTCATTTGAAATTAAAGAACCTTTTTGAACACGCTCAAATACGCCACGGCCCCACATTGTCATTTGGCAAACAAAATCTCACCAGATTACTAAGTTCAAAGACTCATAACTCCTACAAAAGTCAATTGATAAAAATGTCTTGATAATATACATCTACATATTATGTCTAAATTATGTACAAAGTTTAATGAAATTCTGACGTGTAGTTTCAGGGGAGTTGCAATGACAAACAAACTGTTAAGGCCACAATTCTAAGTTCAAAGGGCATAACTCAAAGAAAAAAAAATGAATCATAATTTCCTGTCGATATCCACATCTACATATCATTTCCTTATTATCTACAAAGTTTCACAAAATTCTGTGTTCTGTTACTTCAGAGGAGTTGCTATGACCAGAACAGGATTGACTGACGGACAGACGGACGGGTGAAAAAACATTTTACTCTGCGTAACTTCGTTGCGTGGGGTATTACAATGTTATTGAACACGAGAAACTTTATATTGGTTCGTATAAACAGAGTATAGTTATTTCAATTTCTTATTAATTCTTTAATTGTTACCTGCATTGCTGTTTGATCCACTAGCTGTTAAATCATACCTGTTAATTAAATAAAATAATTTATGGTTTAATACATGATGGTCTGGATAGGTGGTCCTTCATTTGATTATTCTTTAACTTTTCATACAATTTTTCTCTATTCTTTTTTTATTTTTACCCTTGTTTTCTATTCTTTATATTTCAGCACCCTTTTATGCTCTATTCTTTACATTTATTGTGCACTTATTGCCATTATTCTCTATTCTGTTAACCTTATCAAGACCTTCATATATTTTGACCACATGATTCTTGGTCAGTACTGATAGTCGTGCTTTAACAGACACAAATATCTTTTAATTTAAAATGAAACAGCCAAAAGGGTCTGGATTGGGTCCTTTATTCTTTATCCTAAAGTTTTTAGACCATTTTTCTCTATTCTTTTAATTTATTTTGCTCATTATTCTCAATTCTTTTATATTTTATTACCCCATTGTCCATTATTTTTCTCTTTTTGCCTACTATTCTCTATTCTGTAAACCCCATCCAGACCCTAACGAAACAGCTAAAAGAACAGAGCTTATAAATGTTTAATACAAATGAAACAGAAACCGTCTGATATTGCTTCAGTGATCGTTTGCTTTTCTACAGTAAATGAAACAATATACAAATGCTAGACCAACAGTTGCAGAATATTCTATATTACTTCAAAGTCCCAGACTGTAAAACTTAAACATCTGCCAATAATAAAATAGCATATCAAATAATTATATGGCGAGGAGGGGTACTAAATATATGGCGGGGAGGGGTATTCTTCAATAAGACAGCAACCTAATATCACAAAAAAAATATTAGTTAAAAACGACTGACCTCGTAAACAACATTGCGTGATCATGGCCGGGTAGACTGAAAGGTGGGCTACGATTCCATGTTTGAAAGTTTTGAAGAGCAGTAGATGAATCTACTTGGTTTGGTGTTACTGATGTGACTTTTATTGTTTCCGTCCATGTAGCATCTGATGGAGTCTGAAAATATGTGTATAATATGTTTTACTGGTGTTATAAATAAAATAATAATAATAAAATTCTTTATTTAACGAAGGTAACTCATTTAACAATAACATGTTAATCTTCCTAGAGGCCTTCATTTTTTTAATTTTTATTGATTCCGTCCATGTAGCTTCTGAAGGGGTCTGATATAATAAGTATAAATATTGTAAAGTGTATAACAAATGTCAAACAAAGTATAAAGAAGGAGGTTCTTAAAGGGTTCGGTATATCAATTTCTCTATCATCGATCTTCCTTATCGCTTATCTGCATGTATCACTCTGCTCAGCTCTTCACAAAATTGCATATCACTGATTTGTGACGTCAAACACGTCATATTGTTTGAACCTATACGTTGATAATATTGAACTGAACTTATCGAGTCTAATTCCAGTTTGCTGGTGAAAACAAAAGAAATATTATTGTTTCTTTTATGAAAAACACACAAATATTACGTTTTTTGGTCGATTTTTTCTCTTTTATTTTTTCTTTCCCAACAATTGTTCTTCTATAATTTATATTTTAGCACCTAATTATTCTCTATTGTTTATCTTTTTGCCCATTATTTTTTTTTCTGAAAACCCTATCAAAATAAGAATCCTTGTTCATGACTTATCACATTATTGAAACATGACTGTGATAAACTACACCACGGGTGCATCTTCATTACTTATGTGAAATTTTTTAAGTTATCTTGTTTAGCTTATGGTCCTTTTTCGTTCAATATAGCTTCAAATTTGAATGCCCCCTTCTCATCTTCTATTTTTTCTTTGAATATTGAAATTTAAAGGGGAAACAGAAATTTCAAGAGATGGTGTAATTTTTTTTACGGTATTTCAAAATATTAAATATATACTTCATGTATATACTACTTAAAAATTTCATTCCCTTGATATAGTCGAGCATTTTGTTTTGTCAGGTTTTATGAACTTCTTGTTAAATTTATCTTGGAGTTCGGTATTATTGTTAATCGTTTTAAACCATTTAATGTTTTCATAACGGTTGACACCCTTATCCCCCTCCCCAAACCAAACACTCTTAAACAATTTAAACATACCTGTGCAATAACTATACCAGCAAATACAATATCGATGGTGTATGATGATGTCTGTATATTCTTGTACATTCCGTCCATCTGTACAAACAAAGACACATTATACACACATTGGTAGGAAATATATACCATTAAATTGCAAAAGTTTAAAAATGTTAGTCGAGTTTATTTTCCTGTTTCGTTTTGACCGTCACTTTGTAAACATTTATTGCCTGTATTTTGTTGGACAAAATAATCTTTTTCATCCTATTTTGGGCAAAGTTATTTCATTCAGATTTTACCAAGCCATATCCAAAATTCAACCCCCTCCCCCCCCCCCCCCCCCCCCCTCCCTCCAGATGGTCGTCCCAATTGACGCAGGAAGGGATAATGTGACGATATATTTATTTGATTTATACTTACATGTGGAGCAGGATCTGCTTACCCTTCCGGAGCACCTGAGATCACCCCAAGTTTTTGGTGGGGTTCGTGTTGCTTAGTCTTTAGTTTTCTATGTTGTGTCATCTGTACTATTATTTGTCTGTTTGTCTTTTTATTTTTGGCCATGAAGTTGTCAGTTTGTTTTCGATCTATGAGTTTGACTGTCCCTCTGGTATCTTTCGTCCCTCTTTTTTCTACTAAACAAATGCCGATGTTTCGAAAACACTGTAACAAGGTAGCAATCCGCAAACCATAGGAAGACGTTTCACCATTAGTTTCGATCGAATTCTTTGCTCTTACTCATTCATAGCAATAAAATATAAATATCTTTTTTTTTTACAGATTCAGTAAATGTGAACATATGCGTTATTCTGGCTTTTCTTAATCCAACAACACTATTGGTTAGTTCTGAGATAGTCAGCTTTTTCATGTTTGATTTCATTTTACAAACAAAGTTCATATGAAAACGTCTCCTATAGTTTCATTCTTTGTCCAGTAAAATTCATGTTTAAACACGAGCCAATGTATACGTTATAATTATATAAGTATGAACACCGTATAGTATATCTATGTAATACTCACACCAGTAATAACAAAAGCATAGTACTGCCTCACTGATGTCAGAGCTTCGGTTTCTTTTTGTGATGAAGATGTTTGTGTACTTTTGTCATACCAGCTGTAATATACAAATATGGTGATGTGGTATGATTGACATTTACACGACTAACCACAAAAGGTACATATAATAATAAGAAAAAAATATTTAAAAAAAAACAAAAAAAATAGCTTTGGTTTGACCAAATAGTTTCTAATACATTTTTGGATTTAAGGAGCAAACGCTTTATTTTCGTTAATCAATACCTGTAAAAGTATAACAAATAACATTGTGCAAAACCTGATTGTTCGTTATGATCCAATTAATGAGTAAACATTTTATTGTTATGCATCAATACAATCATGTTATAACAAATAACATTGTGTAAAACATTCAATGAAAATTACAAACTTGTGAAGAGTTCCATCCTTGTTTATATATACAAACCAACTTACTGCTTATAAACAGCATAATCTACCACTATCAGTAACTCTAACTGGTGTAGCCCAGTCGCCCTTTTATGTCTGTGATTTCTGGTTGTAAATGTAGCTTGCTTTGTTGTATCAGCTACAAATTGAAACATATATTAATAAACAAAAATATCAGAGACTAACAAGTGTTAATTATATTTAAAATGAACGATGAAATACATTTTAATATAGTTACTGTACTTATGTATTATTTTTCTGGAAATGACACTTAGGGAGCTACCATTTGATTTTTATGGGGGGGGGGGGGGGGGGGGGGGGGGGGGGGGGGCTAGGATGAAATTTGAAAAAAATAGGCAGGACAGGAGTTTTGAGTAAAAAAAAAGGCAGGATGAGATTATTTGCCAAAAAAAAAAAGGCAGGATGACAATTTATGTAAAAAAAAAAAGTCAGGATAAACTAAAAAAAAAAAAAGGCAGGACCGAATAGAGTGAAAAATAAAAAGGCAGGACCAAATAGAGGGAAAAATAAATAGGCAGGACAAAATTTTTCATCCTAGCCCCCCCCCCCCCCCCCCCCCCCCCCCATAAAAATCAAATGGTATCTCCCTTACATGTAATGTAAATCTCATAAAAAAAGTTTGGCCAGCCAAATTGAACTCCTTACATTCTATGCAAACACAATCAAATACTTCTTCTTCGTGTTCTTCCAAATACACTGCATTACGTCTCTGACGCATTGACACAGTGGCCTCTCTAAATTGTAAAAATATATCTGATCTTTATCTTCATACGCAATGCGGAAATTCTTGTTCTTCTATGGTTGTTGTATATACATGGTGTCCGCTACATGCTAGTTACAATGGTTGTGAGTTGTCAAGTACAATGTAAGAATCACAATTCATGTATCAATCTTTAAACCATAAAAATGGTTGAGTTGGGAATAATTTCCTTAAATAAGTATATATATCTAACCTTTTCCTAGAAAATCGTTGAAATCAATTTCAGGGATTTTTTCCTTCCTTATTTCAAACTGATTGAACCCTGACTTCAGCTTCGTGTATGTTTTATTTTTGGCAGTTTGGACGATATATTCCTCGCTACCTAGATTGAAGGTTCCAAACTGTACAAATAGAAAGATAAACTTGCTGAAAACATTTCAACACTAGTTTTAACACAATAACTTACATCGCTGGTTTGGTAAAACTCTGCTTAAATAAGAACAAATGACCTGCGAGTGAAGAAATTGACCTTATGCAAATGAATATCAATACATCTGTTAAGGATGTTCGCTACTCTGGGTTTTTTTAATTTATGACAGATGTTCGGAATCCTTGGTTTTATCCATGTAGTGCCATTAAAAACAATTGCCCATTAACCCTTACTTTTCTTTCCATAATTTGATTACATATAGTTTAAAATGTCATATTTGAAAATATTATAAAATCCTTGTAATTTTTTCATCGTTTTTGAAAGAAAAAAGGTACCAATGTTAAATGCATGAAAAATCTATAGAGATAATTATTTCCCGCCAAATTTTCAATGGCTTATATCTTGAAAAAAAGCACACGAAACCTTCATTTTTTTCTGCTTTTTTAGTTTCTTTATTTATATACTAATAATTTATAACAGTCTTTTAACATGAAAAGCTTGTTATTTTGAAACAGAGTAGCGAACATCCTTAAACTATTTCAGGTTGGAAAAAATCGAAGTCTGTAACTGTTCCAGTATTGAGCTGTTATAAGACAATCTACAAAACAGACAAAAATTCAGAAATTGAGCTGTTATAAGAAAATCTAAAAAACAGACCAAAATTCGATAATCGAGCAGTTATAAGAAAATCTACAAAACAGACCAAAATTCGGAAATTGAGCTGTTATAAGAAAATCTACAAAACAGACCAAAATTCGGAAATTGAGCTGTTATAAGAAAATCTACAAAACAGACCAAAATTAATCTTTTATTTTGTATTTGAATGTTCCAAAATTATGGTACATGTATACGTGTACTTGCATAATGTCGATTTCTATCCAATACAGCTCATATTTTAACTTTGTAACAAAGACTCGGAAGTACGAGTTCATATTATTCAATATTGGATATAGGATTATAATTTGAATCAAAACAAAATGAATAATGAGATTTCTGGTTACACAGCTTTAACGTGCGTATATAAAAATGCCGGTTTCTGGTTGCACAGCTTTAACGTGCGTATATACAAATGCCGGTTTCTGGTTGAACAGCTTTAACGTGCGTATATGAAAATGACGGTTTCTGGTTGAACAGCTTTAACGTGCGTATATAATGCCGGTTTCTGGTTGAACATCTTTAACGTGCGTATATGAAAATGCCGGTTTCTGGTTGAACAGCTTTAACGTGCGTATATAAAAATGCCGGTTTCCGGTTGAACAGCTTGAACGTGCGTATATAAAAATACCGGTTTCTGGTTGAACAGCTTTAACGTGCGCATATAAAAATGCCGGTTTCTGGTTGAACAGCTTTAACGTGCGTATATGAAAATGCAGGTTTCTGGTTGAACAGCTTTAACGTGCGTATAAGAATGTCGGTTTCTGGTTGCACAGCTTTAACGTGCGTATAAGAATGAGGGTTTCTAGTTGTACAGCTTTAACATGCGTATAAGAATGCCAGTTTCTGCAAGATAGATAATGATATAATGTTCTCTGCAGTCAATATTAAGAAAGAAAAACCCATTCCTTACCATATGCGTTTCTTTGAATTTGTCATATTGGTAAACAAACACTGCACCATGCACTACATCTTGGTAGAAAATGGATTCCTAGAAATTTGTTAAAAAACAAAATGAAACATTTTCAAACGCGGACACATGTTAACTATAAAAAAGGCATTCCTGGTTGCTCGCCTCAGCACCAGAAACAAATTGATCGTTTTTTCAGGCTACATAAAATGGAACATTTTCATACATTACAAAGAGAGTTTCATAACTATATAAGCTCAAAAGGGCAATTTACACAATTTCTTGTATTGAATCATTCCCAAAAAAAATATTTTACAAAGTTTTTCTTCGTTTCCAAATTAGTAAAGCTTAATCTTTGGTCCATAAACATAAATGTATGATAATGTTAAGTAGTTTCGTATATTAACAGCTATCCAACTATATCAACAGTAAGACTGTTTTACTTAATTTCTATCTGGATTTCCCCCCTCTAACACGCCATTTTGTTATACAAGCGTTCGTTCCCGTAAATAAGAAAAGATACGTCAATGTTTATTTGGTTTATTTGAGGTCTATTGAATTTTTAATTTATTTTTTTTTTAATTTTTAAAAGCATACGAATTTCAACATTAGATATCGTTTGTTTAAATTTATTTTTCAAATTGATTTAAATGTAAATACTACAAGAATACCTTTAAAACATACTTTACTACTTATCAAAAGTGGGGGAAAACGGGATAGAAAAGGCACAATCAAACAAAACCAAAGCTTTACGTACAATTTTGTCTTCTAAGTTGTTGTATGTAACCGCGTTTCTTTTAAGACTAAGTGTCGGCACTGACGTTCTAATGTTGTCATTCCGGGTCAAATGTAAATTCACGTGTGATTTTGACAGTGGCACATCAAGGTCATATGTTGCTGGATGGAATGTTTCATCTGTAGATCGTTTAGTTCTGCCTCCTTCTGTTATGTGTATGTTTATGTATTCTACATAGAAAAATTTAGCGTTACAGATACATGCTACAAAAAGATATTAAGAATGAATATGTATACCACCATGGATTTCTTAGATGTAGTTCTTTAATTGCAAATGTTCCCTTAATCAACGCAAGCTTAGAATTTGGTCTAAAACTACAAACGATCGTCTAAGATGGTTGCATTTTAAATTGCAAAATGTTCCCTTAATCAACTCAAGCTTAGAATTCGGTCTAAAACTACAAACGGTCGTCTAAGATGGTTGCATTTTAAATTGCAAAATGTTCCCTTTATCAACTCAAGCTTAGAATTTGGTCTAAAACTACAAACGGTCGTCTAAGATGGTTGCATTTTAAATTGCAAAATGTTCCCTTAATCAACTCAAGCTTAGAATTCGGTCTAAAACTACAAACGGTCGTTTAAGATGGTTGCATTTTAAATTGCAAAATGTTCCCTTAATCAACTCAAGCTTAGAATTTGGTCTAAAACTACAAACGATCGTCTAAGATGGTTGCATTTTAAATTGCAAAATTTTCCCTTAATCAACTCAAGCTTAGAATTTGGTCTAAAACTACAAACGGTCGTCTAAGATGGTTGCATTTTAAATTGCAAAATGTTCCCTTAATCAACTCAAGCTTAGAATTCGGTCTAAAACTACAAACGGTCGTCTAAGATGATTGCATTTTAAATTGCAAAAAGTTCCCTTAATCAACTCAAGCTTAGAATTTGGTCTAAAACTACAAACGATCGTCTAAGATGGTTGCATTTTAAATTGCAAAATGTTCCTTTAATCAACTCAAGCTTAGAATTTGGTCTAAAACTACAAACGGTCGTCTAAGATGGTTGCATTTTAAATTGCAAAATGTTCCCTTAATCAACTCAAGCTTAGAATTTGGTCTAAAACTACAAACGGTCGTCTAAGATGGTTGCATTTTAAATTGCAAAATGTTCCCTTAATCAACTCAAGCTTAGAATTTGGTCTAAAACTACAAACGGTCGTCTAAGATGGTTGCATTTTAAATTACAAAATGTTCCCTTAATCAACTCAAGCTTAGAATTTGGTCTAAAACTACAAACGGTCGTCTAGGATGGTTGCATTTTAAAACTCCCGCCAATTTCATTGAAATGGAAGAAGGAGGGAAACACTGTTGTACGTATATTTATAATATTAATATATTAATATATGTGTGTAGTTCATGATGTTCAAACTGCCTTTTCTTTTCTTTGTATGTATACTAGACTACTGTTGTTTCATTTTGTAATTGTCTTATTAATGTCTTATATTGTACAACGCTCCTTGTGAGCCTATTTAATGGAAATAAAACATCTTCTCTATACGCTTTAATTACTGTCTGATACATATTAATGAACATATATGGGATCGATGTTGTGAGACAATATCCAAAATGTACTTTAAGAAGGAAAGGAAGTAAAAACCCTGAAAGTCACAATAAGATATTCAATGATCATTGTAAATGTAGTCAAACGTGAAAGACTTTTAAACAAACTGGAGAAAAAAACACAAGTGAACGTCTTTATTCTTGTTTTGGTCACACAAACGTATAGTTTTGGTCACACAAATTTATACCCAATTTGATAGCTTTACCATTACCAATCATATTATGTAAGTTGTATACAATAACTAAAGAAGATACTAAGGCAATAACCAAGAACCATTAATCAAAGAACAGATTACTGCAAGACAAAAAGAACAACCAACAGTACACGAAAAACTCCACAAAACTAAAGATTGCAATTGAGAAACACGAATCACAAACAAATTAAAAAAAAAACAAAAACAACAGGTGAACTTGGGTGTTCCGGTAAGGTCAGCAGTTCCTTGGGACATTCGTTGAATTCAGGCAAAACGATGACAACAACAAATGCTATTTACTACTATAATCCTATACAGATGCTTTGATTCACGAAGATGATGGATTTTATGGTATCCTGGGTTTATTTATCATTATAACCAGTGAGATATTATTCATGATTCACTAGCTGACGTTTTGTTGACCTTGGATTTTTTTGTTATTATGATTTTCACAAAAAATGAAAGAACATAGAATAATAAGCCTTTTTGTCAGATAGAAGGACTGTTTACGTTATACACCCAAAAAGTTAAAAAAAAAAAGAGAAAAAAAAACAAGATAAATAAAATACAGGTGAGCTTTTAGAAAAATCAACTAAATTCATTAAAATGTTATCAAATCAAATTATAATATCATAATCGTAATGTATTTTTCAGCAGGGGACTTTATGATTATTATTATTCGTCAATTGTTGATATCAAATAAGCAAGTGTCACGTGACGAAGGCGGTTAATGGGTTTCCTCCCAAGAGCTTCTGTTGAGGGTCATTTACCTGATTTTACGCACTAACGTTTAAGAATTAGATACATGTGTACTGGTATTCATTATGTAAATGAGGGTGGAAATGACGGTCACAGAAATCGGTAGAAAAACAGTCCGGAATAAGAATTAGCATAGGTTCAAAACAGATTATAATATTACAATGTTACTGTATTTTTTCAGCAGGCAGTGTGCTAATGTTTGTTATCATCAGCCTGTTTGGATAATAGGTATGCAAATATTATAGTCAAAGGGTTCAATGAGAGGTATAAACGCTGAGTTGTTTTCTTAGATAGTCAACCCAATGTTTACAAATTAAAGCAATCCCCCAGAAGTGGTAAAGTTGAAATCATGCCTTCGTAGTTTTTACGATCTCCATCACGAGTTGGTTGACCGGTATGCAATATCTGTTTCACAGATGACGACGGATATGTTCCAATTGTCGTAACTACAATCCCGTCCTCTTTTCCCCGAATATGACCTACCGAATTAGACTTATCATCGGGTTTTTAATTACATGAGCAACACAACGGGTGCCACATGTGGAGCAGGATCTGTTTATCCTTCTGGGGCACCTGAGATCACTCCCGGTTTTGGGTGGGGTTCGTGTTGCTCACTCTGTAGTTGTCTATGTTTTGTTTTGTGTACTGTTGTTTGTCTTTTGGTCTTTTTCTTTTTTTTTTTTGCCATGGCGTTGCCAGTTTATTTTCGACTTATGAGATTGAATGTCCCTTTGGTATCTTTTGCATCTCTTTTAATAAATGATGAAGCAGTCAAATTAGAAAATATCCTTCAGTATCATGTGTCTAATATCTGGGAATTTAACACTTGACGACATATTTGAATAGAAAAAAAAACAGTTTATTAAATGTAATTACACCTCCGTTCCAAGGGAGATGGTTTACTGACTTCCCCCTGTCAGTCCGTCTTATGAAATTTCCGTTGCATTTTTCTCGAGGAACTACAAATCACATCATTCTTAAATTTGGTAGCAAGCACTGTGTGACACGTTTTCACATTCATCGCCTTTCTGCTTCCTGTTTATCGAATACTTATATATTCTTTAACATAATGGACATGTATGAAGTTTTTGCCGATTTTTTCTCATGGCCTACACACAGAGCTTCATCAAATTTTGGTAGCAAGCTTCCGGTCAGCATGTAATTATGTGCCACAATATTTTCACATTCATCTCTCGTCAACTTTCTTTTTTCAGAATACTTAAAGTGTGGGTATCACTAGTGAGCAGTAGCTCACCGTTGAACTAGTTAAATATAAATTGCAAACTCGCTGGTATCTTTTTGTATTACTAGTGGGTCCTTTGCACATTGCTTTGCTTTTCTAAACTGTTCATTGACCTTTTACTAACTGCTGACTCCAATTGAGACAAACAAACCTTTTACACAGTCGGATTTCCTTTTCGTTTAAAGCATTTGATATTAAAATAGGGATATATGGTATGAATTTCAATGAAACAACTATCCATAAAGACTAAAGAACAAAGATGTAAACATAGCAGGTCACCATACGGCCTTCAAGAATAAACAGACCTTACGCTGTAACGTAAGCTAAATAAGGCCATGTGATTAAAAATTAATACAAAACAATAAAAAAATCTACCGCCCTGATTTATACCACAACAATAAACGAAAAACAATTCTTGTACACACAGTAACTAAAGTCAACTTCTGAGTTACAAGCTCCTGTCTTTGGACAGGCAAAAGAATACGGCTGGGTTAAAGAGATGCTTTATTATTTGCAATGACATAATTAAATCTACTCCTTGACCAAAATGCAAATGTGACCAATTAAAAGTTACCCAGTGGCCTTAAACAATTAGCAAAACGTTTTCCGTTTAGTATAAAAGACCCCGGTATGAAACAATTCTTATATAAAAAAAAATCAACGACCTAATTTATATTACACCAATGAAAGAAAAATAAATATGGCAGACAACAACAAAAGAAAACCACTAAATTTCAGGCACATACAAAATATGGCCGGGTTTAAAGTGTTTGTGAGCGCCCAATCCTCACATAACCTAGGACAGTGGTGTAGCAGTACAACATAACAACAATCAGTAAACATCTGTTGAGAAGGGCTTGGCTCATCAGAGCGATACTAAACAAGTTCCCCTTACTATCCAGTTGTGTTCGTATTGCTTTTCTGCTTTTGCTCACTGTTGATGTTCAATATGTTCCTTTTTTTAAATGTAATTGTGGGATTGTGATTGAATCTGAAACGTTTACCAAAATGACGTGATCGTCAAAAATGTGCAAAAGAAAAAGAAAAACATGTTGAACAAACGAATGCAAACTAGAAAATGTATATCGGTGTTTTCAGCAGAATTCTGCGTCCTATATTTGAACAAATAACAGTTTATAAGAAGTAAAATAACAAAAATACCGAACTCCAAGGAAAATTCAAAATGACTCTTTTTTAAATCTACGATCTTCTACATGCCTTTGGTTATTGCATCGATTGAGATTAAAATGGGAGGCTTCACAGTAGCGGATCCAGGGTCTGTTGAAGTGGGTAGTAATTTTTCAAAACGGTAAAAAAAACATTTGAAGATTTTAAGCAATGAAGTATCTTTTTTCTGATCTACTGGTTGGTGCGTACATATTCTAACCACAAAGTTTCGCCACTGATTGAAATATCAAAAAAACTACATTGTATATTTAGCCCCGTCACATTTTCACATGTCTGTGCCAGGTGTTTTGTGTTTTAAGAGATTTGAGGTTGGTTGCATTTATACGGAAGTATTTGTAAATCTATTTATGACTTTTTTTATACCATAATCCGGGTGAAAAACTATTTAGACCTTTTTTTGTAGTTTTGTCGGGCTGACCCATTTACGTATACCCCCTGTTTACTTCCATTCATTCATACCATTAAATAGTCTTACACATATATTTACTAATCTGTAAAATATTTCATTGAGAAGGATTTTAATTACAAAAGGCAAACAATGACTACCCTAATCCGTACATGATCACGATTTTTTTTAGACGGTCAATAAATGACCTCAACTATTTTGGTATATATATGTAGTCCATTCATGATCCATTCATGTTTTGTCATAATAGAAATATCAACATGTATTATCAATCCTCTTTATATATTTTTACGTATCACTCTATTACGTAAACAGAATTTCATAGGTTTTTATGTATAGAAGTTTAAATCATGTACTACATTTGTACTAATTTCTTATTTGTTTGAATACAAACATATCTTGCTATGCCAGCGTGACTAAATGGCTATGTATACATGAAGTTGTCAATGAACATACATGTATATAAAATTAGACAATGTGTCAATTTACCCGGAATTTTATTGATTTTAACACATGAAAAGTTAAGAAGATTGTTATCTGTATTGTGAGAATTTTAAAAGAATGTAGACCAAATTAAAAAAAAAATCTGCCTCTTGGCATAACAAAATTCGGTAGGAAGGTATGTAAAATAATTTAATCAAAACAAATAATTTACACTCAGGCTATATTAATTTGTGAATGTTTTGGACTTAAACACTGATTAATAAAACATATCTGGACTTTAAAGGTGCTTAACCAAAAATGTCCATAAAATGTGTACGGGCAGATAAACAGATTAAGGATTAAAGGGAAACTTCGCAAAAAAATAAAAAATTGATATTATGTCCATTCTGTATAAAAAAGAACAAATTCATAAATATTAAAGTTTTATTCTGCTAGATAAGAGATCACCATCGATTTTAAATTTAGAGTAACAATTCTCTGCGTGCGGCCATTTTGACATCATCTCGGATTAGAGACCACGATATATCTATAAACCACAAAGGACCAAAACCAGCAGTAACCTAACGTAGTCGCATTTATCCGACTAACTAACTTGATACGGAAAATGTTTATATTATTTTTTTTAAATAACTATGGTCTGTCGTTTTTTCTTTACGAAGTTTTTGAAACAAGAAATTTATATGGGAATTAGTTAAAAAGTCAAAGTTCAATGTCATAAATAAGTGTTCCGTGTAAAATCGTTTTCGAAAATCTAATTTGTTCATAATTCTTTTATGTAATAAACTTATTCAAATAAATTCGGACCTTCTCTTATCTGATCACCAGCATGGCTAAAGGAATTATTCCCTGAGGTATTGTGAGGTGACACGTCCAGGTATTCAAGCAATTTCCTGTCGGGCTTAAAAACTCTTATTACACAATTACATAAAGCATGTTCATGCATCGCTTCACTTCTGAGGGTATTGATCAGTGTACACAGCCGATAACTTGTAACTTTCCATTTTGAAACTATGGCAGGTGTATAATATCTCTGTCTTGCGTGTCCGATAGTGATATACTAGTCATTACTAAACTCATACGCTTGTTTATAAATAACATTTCTGGTGTAAAGAATGATATTTATGAAAATCTAAATAATTCCCAAAAAAGATTTGATAAAATAAAAATCTATTTACATATTTTTTCCAAGGGTAAATTGGGGAAAATGTAAGTATATACTCGTTGTCAATAATGATGGACATTTTGAAACATGAAAGACTATTGATTTAACAAAAATGTACGCACTTGTCGATCATTGGTTTATACGCCTAGATAGAAAGTTACGGAACTTTAGATAGTCGCAATTTAAAATTGTATATTGAATGTAAGAAAGAACATCCAGAACCAATTTGATTTAAATACAGGTCGATATCTAACTTGCTTTGATTCATCGAAGTTATGGACATAGTAAAATCACAGATTTATATTTCAATTAAATTGTTCTCGAACAGTTGAAGAAATTCGTCATCATCTCAATTGTTGGATATAATGTATATTAATGTGAACATGGTTCTAATAGAACCTTATGCCAATTTTCCTGTTCCGACATGCATGTAATATATATGCCACTGGACGTACACTATTGATCCCCAAAAAGTTTATTTGAAGAAATAAAGAAACTTCACTCCGGATAGACTGATAGTAGTTGTATTAACGTCTGATCAGCTGCAGGGTTGATTAATTTATTACGTTAGCTTGTGGGGGAATAAACCATTCCCAATATTGCACTTATGCATAAAATATTAAATAAAAGTAATATAAGAGAAAATATAAATACGAAAAGTCGCATATCTGGTAAAAAAAAAAGTCTCACCAACTATAGGATTTCACGTACAATTGTCATTATAATCGAAATAACGGACAGTCATTAAATTACATGCATGTACGTTTTGATAAAAAGGGGTGCCGCAGTTGCATATTATTCATCATAAATCTATTTCAAGTTTATACTTTCCTGTTATTCTTATCAGTTAACGCAGAGACATGTAACTATAGATCTCTAGTTAACGACAATCAACCATATAAATATCTGAATCTGATGTGACTTACCGTTCATCTCTAGTGGTTCATCTCTTTCATTTTTTATTTGGGCAGGAACATAAACATTGTTAGATATAATGTTCCCAGGTTTGGAGGGGGGGTGGGTGGTTGGAGGTCAAGTCTATCGAAAGTTACAAAATAAGAACGTTGTATTTATGAATTTACAAGAAGAAGTTCTTGGACGTAGTTTTCTTCTTTTTTTTTTTAGTTCAGTGATTTATTTATGAGAAAAAATCTAGTCAGAATTTAAATCGTTCCGGCGATCCCCCACCTAAGACTCCTCTAAAATCATGAATGGTTATGCTTCACAATCATCAGAATTTACTTTGCATTGGTACATTCTGTATCGGTAGTGATTAACCTTGACATTTCCGGGTATAACAGAGCTACTTGTATATTACCTGTATGTGGTTAGGTACATCGTCCCATGAGGTCTTACGTATACAGGTTCACACTTATAATGGTTTCTGATATAACAAGGTTTTATGACATTCACACTTCTGCATGTTCTGTATACCAGTTTCTTATCTGATTTTCAGACCGAATGAGGATGTGAATATTTTCCAGGAAAAATATTGAGTATCAAATTAATTTCGGGATTTTTTTCTTTCTTGGTATTAAATCACAGAAATTTAAAGAATATACTGCTTAAAGATATAAGAAGATGTGGTATGAGTGCCAAATGAGACAACTCTCCATCCAAGTCACAATTTATAAAAGTAAACCATTATAGGTAAAAGTACGGTCTTCAACACGGAGCCTTGGCTCACACCGAACAGCAAGCTATAAAGGGCCCCAACAAATTACTAGTGTAAAACCAGGAGTATTCTTGTCAGTTAAGACAGACATATAATTATATGTATATGGACATAGAAATGGTTTAGGAATGAATGATAAGTCTTGCAAAGGTACAAGATATAAAGCACATTGAAAATTGATTCCGCCGGTCTGTCTCCATTCAATAAAGGAAAGTTGACGTTAGATTGATTCTGTAATTTTTTTTTAAACATCGTTGGTCAAATAGCTAAAGTATTTGTTGTGAGATGTAGAATATTTTAATAAGGACATTCCCGATTAGGTAAATGTAGATCGCTTTGGACGGACCAAACTATATTAATGTAACTGATAATTTTCTCTGCACAATTAAATATTCAAGGTACCGATGATAATTCAAAACAGCACAGTTTTTTGGTTTATACGCTCGTTTTCGTGGGCCATTTTTATTTATAAAATTATTTCATTAAAGGTTATTCAGAATTCCGATGTTACAACAAAATACTCACTCATCTATTTAAAAACTGAGCTAACGCAAAACATAAAAATATATATAACGGCGATTCAGGTATTTTGCCACCATATTCCTCCCCAAATAATGATTTTTTTCTGTCTCAAACCCACATTTCTCTTTTATCATTTTTTTGTTATCTTTTTCAAACCGGCAAATAATTTTTGTTCGTAATTATTCGATCTCATTCCAATAAGACAAAGTTGACCTTAAATTTCCTGTCAACTTTTGAAACATCTTTCTTCAAATGGCTGAAGTATTTATACGTTGTGAGATTTAAAATATTTTGATAAGGACATTAATTCCTGAATATGTAAATAAAGATCGTTTTGGACGGACCAAATTATATAATTGCAATTGGTAATTATCTATTTCAAATATGCAAGGTTACCGATTCTAATTTAAAATAGTACAATTTTTAGTTCATACACTCGTGTTTAGAATGCCATTATTATTTATTCAATTAAATTAATTCAGTATTTCATTGTTACAAAAATATTCAGCAGTCATAATTCATTTTAAACTGAGTTTACGGAAAATATAAAAATATATCACCATATTACTCCCCCAAAATAATAATATTTTTTTTTTATTTTCTGTCTCAAATATCACTCCCGTTTATCATTCATACGAAATGATGTTCACACCTGGAACGGTGAACCGTGACGGCTAAAATTCACTGAGTGAAGATCAAAAGATTAGAATTACAGAATGCAAACATTTAAATACCTTGAATTTAACCAAATACCTTTAATTTAACAACGCATTCAACAGGTAGTCACTAAGTGTCACAGTACAATACACATTGTATTAATTTTACACAGTACTAGCGAAAAATGTTTGCTGGACTGAAGTAAAAGGTGAGAATACAAACATGCATTTTTAATACACTATCAGTTATATATGTTTGTTGAAAATATCCGTCGGAAAAAAAAATCATAAAAATATTCTATTGTATGATTAACTTTTATTACTTTAATGACTGTAATCATATCAGAAATCCTTAAAATATAAATCGTACATTTTATTTTTAAAAGTTGCACGGCTGATCACTTTACTTTCTTAATTATTAGTTGGTTAATAGCTACGCCAAAAGTCGTCGATGCGCTTTAAATCGCGATATTAGATGAGTAACGAACAAGACTTAAATGAGATTAATTCCACTCCCGGCATGCAAAAAGACTTAAACTACGTCACATAAGTCAGGAAGTTCGAATAAATAAAATTAATAATTCCCAATTTTCTTCTTTATTAGTTTTCATATCCAGATAAAACTTGGTGAATATGTTTTTTATGGTATTATGAACATAATAAGATTATAAGTAAAAAATCGCGAATTTTCCCTTTAAGGTAGGGAGGAAGGAAACAAAGCACTATATTTTTTGGTCTGATATTAAAAACGAATATATATCCTGTTCTGATCAGAGTAAAATGGATGACCCCTTAAATAAAATTACCGCAAAGATATTTGTGTTGTAACGTAAACTACTTTTAAAATGAGAAAAGGCACAGGCTATTAAATAAATCTTGGACTGTATAAAATAAGGAGATATGGTATGAATCTAATGAGACAACTATCCACTTGAGTCCAAATAACATGGCCTTCAACAATCAGCAAAACCCATATCGCATAATCTACTATAAAAAATCTCGACATGACAAAACGTAGAACAATTCGAACGAAAAACATAACGGCCTGATTTATGATAAAACTACAAACGAAAAACAAACAAGGCAGACATCATCCTATGTCAATCTCTGAGTTACAGGCTCCTGACTTGGGACATGCACATAAAAAACGTAGCTGGGTTAATAGAAATAAGAAGATGTGGTATGAGTGCCAATGAGACAACACTCCATCCAAGTCACAATGTGTAAAAAGTAAACAATTATAGGTCAAAGTATGGCCTTCAACACAGAGCCTCGGCTCACACCGAACAGCAAGCTATAAATGGCCCCAAAATGACAAGTGTAAAACCATTCAAACAGGAAAACCAACAATCTATATAAAAAACGAGAAACGAGAAACACTTTAGGGACCACATAAAGAAACGACAACCACTGAAACAGGTTCATGTTTGCGAGCCCTCAACCCTCCACTAACCTGGGTCAGTGGTTTAACAAGCATAACATAGGGACAACGTGTAAAAATCATTTGGAAATGGCTTTGGTCATCAGATTGGCACGAAACACAAAAATAACTAACAGAAAGACAAATAAAGTACCGGTCTTAGAGAACTCGCAGTTACTGAAAAAATGCCAACTATACACCAGATACCAAATGACGTAGGTGTAAGCAACTATATGTTACCATAAGGCCTTCAACTATGAACAAAACTCATTCCGTATAGTTAACTATCATCAAAAGGCCTTGATACGACAAATTGTAAAATAATTTAGAATAAATTACAACTAATAAATAAATTGTGTACTTCCCGACTAAAGTACCAATCAGTACACATCCAACGTATTTAGCGTAAAGACGTCATAAACAGTCTACAGTTGTAGATTATATATTTGTATTAATATTGACTATTTGTTATTCTATTAATGTTTATAAAATCTCTGTATCGTGGATTTTGCTTTATGAGAATAAAGATATATAAGAAAAATATGACTTTTATTTGACTTTTTAAACCTGTATTTGCTGAACGACAAATCTAATTCAACATTTCTTTTTGTAGAGAAGAAATCCCATTGTTCGGTGGATGTCGCACAAATTAATCTGAACAATTATCTTTTCAATTTCTTAATCTGACTTCAGTGTAATATACGACTCATTTTTAAGTCCATTTGAAAAAGTTTTGAATTATCACTTGAAGCTGCATTTATATGACTGAGGTTTTAATGAGATTTTTCCATGAGGTCTTTTATTTTTAAAATCTTTTCCTTCGTACACTGTTGTCCTATTAGTGTTAGGGGGAAATATATGTACATTAACACCTTATGAGATTTTGCATAATCTTATGTAATATGAATAATTTATCGATTACTAATTTTCTGTAAAACCTATAACATATCTATTATTATACTAATTAGAAATTATCAAAACATAAATCTATACTGATAAGCCGTCCGCTTTGACACTAATGAAAGGGTCGTGAATATACATGTCATTTGTAAATGTTTTGTAAGAGGTGAGACTTAAATAAGATATTGTCTATATATACCCTACTACAAAATGTACATATAAGTATCCCCTATTAAAGAATATCTTGCGGGTTTCCTCTTTACTTTTATAATGTACATGAAAGATTTCTAATTTTATTGTGTAATAAAGTTCAAAGTTAAAATCGTGATTGTCATTACATTATGTTAAAGAATGTTACAAGTTATATTTACAGTACAATTTAAACATAAATAAACAGTCTTCAAGTCCTTAATTCTTGTTGACTGTTTTAATAAAAAAAACAGAATTAATCAGACTTTGTTTGAAGAACAAAACAAAAATTGCGTAAAGCTAATTGTTTATAATTCGAATTGGCAAGTCTATCGCATTCCCTTGGTTTATTTACTACAGGTGTGGAATACCTTTGATTAACCTTATATCAATTTGTATTTTTAAGGTTCTAAATTCCTGTTATTAAATTTTATATATATATATATATATATATATTTTAATCGACCTCATTACACTTTATACTGTAGCAATATCCTACATTGCTCATATTTTATTTCTTTATGTATAGTGTATTTTCACAAAAAGCTCTTCTTCTCGCGTGTTTTATAATAATCATTAGATAATGATGTTATGTATATTGACTGACAAGGGCCCATGATTGGTAAATAATAATAAAAACAATGTCTATAAATAAATTGTTTCTGAGAAAAAAAAACCCAGGTGTCGCATACCTTTACATAAACTAAAATCAATTTATACTTTCAAGGATCTAAATTAACTCTGAGAAAAAATTGAAAGCAGAGACCAAAATCACTAAGAACTATGTGCGTAATTTGCAGAATTATGCCGAAACATACTTGGTATTGTATAAACAAATATGTAAGAAGAAAACAAAATTAAAACAAAAACAGACTGAAAATTTCTTCGATCACAGTCCGAAAAGTAATTTTATTAATTGACTCCTAAATAAGCCGTTTATTACGAACTGGGACTAATATGTGTTATAGTAGTCTCATTTTATTAATACATGTATACCCGATGTCACAGTAAACAAAAACTGCACGAAACATAATTATATTCATATCTGTTACAGTATAAATAAAGCTTAATACTTTAATCTCGATGATTGATTTAGAAAAAAATACTTCCGAAGCAGCAAATTATGTTTGTTACTATTATTTTTCTTACCTAAATTTGTTTGTTGATTTGGTCCTTGGTCCATTCTAAGGAAACAATTTACAGGAATAATTAAAGTCCATGCGAAAAATATAATAAGGCACTTGTCCATAGCTACTAAGTCCATCACGAAAGACGAATACCATAAAAAATGAAGGGAAAAAAGAGAAATTAACTGTTAATTGACAAATTAGGATTTGGTCAAACGCTTGGCTAGTCGATTCAGTTGACCGGTTTATTATGGAGTGGAATCAATGGAATATTTAAACACATTGAATAGAATGAATACACTTATAATGACCATTGGATCATACGGACTTTTAAATATATAGCGGGTATTTATAACCTGCGTGGGATTTTAGAGTCTTTTTTATATTGAACGCAGTTGGACGAAAAAATAAACAACATTTAGGATAAACACGTTCTTATTTACATAAGAAAAGAATAAGGAAAGTAAGGGATACATGAAGGCCGTACGATGACTTATCGCTACTTATTTTGGACTCTACTGGATATTTGTCTCATTGGCAATCATGCACATCGCCATATTTTTACTGTGCAATATAGATTGATATTATCTAGTACATGTATACTATATTTATTAGAGTGACCTTACATTTTGACTTAAATGATTTTTTTTTTTCTTTTGCCTCTATTCTTTTCAAGTGGAACATAGAACATATTTTACCTCATAATTCTTTTTTTTATTTTTAGGGGGTTGCCAACAACCAGTAGCTACGTGGGGTTTTCTCATTATGTTTGCAAATATGATAACTAAGGCTAATATATTGCAAAGAAATATGTGAGAAAAAAGGAAACTCTATAAGTTTAACGATCAACGTTCATTAATTTGTATCGCGTAACATGGCAATCTGGACAATCACTAATTGAAGCTTTCTCAGTGTAACAAAGCCAACAGGGAGAAGTTTCTGTTACTGGCTTTGTGTATGTGGATTTTCAATTTTGACTAGAAAAGGAGAGCAAACGAATTTGTATATTTATAAAAGCGTTTCGAAGATGATACGAGGGCGATTTAACAATTTTTAAAGAGTCAGAGTGTTATGCAAATTAGTATATAGCAATTTCATATTGTGAATAACTTGTGTCTGAGACTACTTTATAACACACTAACAATTTAATTCGGATTAACTAATTCGGGTCGATCCTAGTTTGAAACAGCAAAGTGTGAACGGGGTATACTATAACACATGCACGAATCTATTATGAGTAGTCTTAGACACTTTATTCACAATACAAAATTTTATACATGTGACTCGCCATGACATTTCTAGGCTTAAGGATGTATAACGTCATTGTAAGAAAAACACACTTAATTATGAACGTTACGTCTTTGTAAACATACAGCTCAATTGGAAGTACGGATAACCTTTGTTAGTCTTGTATATTTTTTTTTTTATTTTGGTTTATTAATATGTTTCGGAGTTTAGTGTGACGTCCATTTTCGCTGAACTAGTACACATTTTTGTTTAGGGGCCAGCTGAAACCCGCCTCTGGATGCGTGATTTTCTCGCTGTGTTGAAGACCCATGGTAGCCTTGGGCTGTTTTCTGCTCTTTGGTTGGGTTGTTGTCTCTTTCACACATTCCCCGTTTCCATTCTCAATTTTATTTTAGTTATTGGCTTTGAACTAGCTATCAGTAACTGCGAGTACTCTCAGATCTGTACTTAGTGTCTTTTTGTTGTGGGGATGTATAAGTATCCTGCCACGTTTTGTCTGTGTTAGTTTGATGTATTTCTGCTTTGTATCGAACTGATGAGTTAAGCCAATTCAACTGATTTTTATAGTTTGTTCTTATGTTGTATTGTTACATCACTGTCCCAGGTTAGGGGAGGGTTGGCGCCTACAAACTACTTTAACCCCGCCAGATTCGGTATGTGTTTATCCCAAGTCAGGATCCTGTAATTCAGTGGTTGTCGTTTGTTGCCTTATATCATATTGTTTTTCGTTCATTATTTTGTACATAAATCAGGCCGTTAGATTTCTCGTTTGAATTGTTTTACATATGTCATTTCGGGGCCTTTTATAACTGACTATGCGGTATGGGTTTTGCTCATTGTTGATAGCCGTACAGGGACCTACATATATAGTTATTTAATTACTTCAATGCCATTTGGTCTCTGGTGGAGGGTTATAACATACTTGGTAATTATACCACATCTTAAGAATTCTTATTTTCATATATACAAGTTTATTTCTTTTCTAAGTCTGGATACTTTTTAGCATTAAATATCAAATATAATTTAAAGCTTTAAACTAAAAGTAAGGAACAAATCATAAACCACGTATAATGAAATTGAAACATTCTGTATATTTTACTTTAAAAAAATGAAAATCTAAGTTCAGCACCTTTTTCTTCCTATTACATTGTAATTTCAACAATCTGTCATGATAACTGGACAGGAACTGGGTACTTATCCAATCATCACTTTTTATGTCAGTTTGTACTGGTTAACATATGAAATGCAATTAGCCCATTTTAGACAAGGTACCCCCATAAGCCTTGAAATCTCGTGGCTAGTCACAAATGTCTATGCAGTCAATGTATGTTTTGTAAATTATCTAAACTAATCTCCTTTTATATGTGTTACCCGTATGATATCAAAAGAATGCATTCATGATTTTAAATATCTTTGACAAAAGAGTGTACCAGTATCAACTTTTAATAAATATTATAGTTAATTTGATAACACTGAAGACACAAAAAAATTATAGCGCTTAGTACAGTCCGTGTAACGTAAAAGTTAACAAAACGAACGATGCCCGAATCATGTACGGACGATGCCCGAACGATGTACGTACGCTACCCAAACGGTGTACGAATGCAAACGAAACGCTGACCGAACGTTGCACGGACGCTGAACGAATGATGTACGAACGAAACCATGAACAATAAACCATACTCTAAACGATAACATAAGCGCCCTTTTATCGTACATCGTATGGTTTTGCGTACTTCGTTTCGTTTAGCGTATACCGTATCGTTTAGCGTACATCGTTTCGTTTAGCGTATATCGTATGGTTAAGCGTACATCGTTTCTTAGCGTGCATAGTTTCGTTTAGCGTACTTATTTTTTTTTTTAAATATAAAACTAGAATTGTGTTCTGTTAAATATTTTTTATATAGGTGATAATAGGCTTATAAATTTAGATTGGATGCATAATTCAGTTTTTAATCATTCATTAAACAAATTATAATTTATTCTGTCTCGATGTTGATCCAAAACTATTTACATAAAAAAATTGAAAAATAAACACTGAAATAGATTTAAACAAACTAAAAGATACGATTATGAATTTTGTTAGCCGTGGAAAAGGTGAATGTGCGAGTAAACTGCAGTCTGCAGGGTGTTTAGTCAACAGTTTTTAGATTATATATATATTTTTATTCATCTATCAAATCAGTCGAAAAAAAACAATTTCAAATAGAAACAATATTCTGTTATGTGCCTCATCAACCCCAAACATAAATCCCTACCAATGTACAAACGATTGTGTATTATTTTTACTACTAATGCACTTGACTTTTAACAATCATCAAAGAAGAGCGTGTCCGGCAAATGAAAAATTTCTAAAAACTGAAAAAATGAAAAATCTTAAAACTGTAAGTGAAATTATAATTTAGCGTTTTCATTTTTTTATTTTGTAACAACAACAAAAATGTAGACCATTTCCCTCTTTTCTTTAATAATCTAAGACCATTTTCCTCTATTCTTCATTTTGCCCGTTATATATACTCTATTCTTATTTTATATTTTTTTTCTTTATTTTCCTGTATCTATATACCTCCTTTATTCGGAGCAACCCCACCCTAAATATACATATGATACACAGGGTCTATAGGTCATCGCTTGTGCCGTGATACACATGTTTGCATAACAAAGGATGTCCTTGTTTATATTTATGACATTTTAAATGTCCTCCTAATAATACATCTAATAGTTGCCACTGGACGTTAAACAGCTAACTATAAATGCATCCGTCATATTCTTAGTTTTGTTGTAATGTGTAAATCAAACAACATGATGAAACACTTGCAGATTTTCACTGCCGACATAATGGGAAATAATTGTAAACAAAACCACTCAGGCCCTATTTTCCAATTTCTATTGTAATGTGGTTTAATGCAAAAAAGGTAACTCCTGAATACTGATCTGTACCCATCAAGCATTTAGGATTAATAACAAATCTATGGTAGTCTCTTTTTCTTTACTCGCAAATTATTCGACTAAATCATGTTTTATTTATGAAAATAGCTTATTGCTGGCAATTTTTAAATATTGACCCCTAGATTTTCAATTGTTTAGTTGTTGGGTTACTGTCTGATCTCGCAAACTTGACATTTTATGGTCAGTATTGTTTGCATCCAATTGCACCAATTTATCAAAAAGATAATAATGCGACACCGTACGAGAGTCGTTACTTTACATAAACTACTAGGTTTTTTTCTATAACGAAATACGAAACCACTTCTCGTAATTCGCCTTGGAGTAATTGTGCTTCTCATTTGACAAAATATGGCCTTGTCTCAAAAAAAAAAATAAAAAATACAATATAAAACTGGACTAGAGTGAAGAGTTTGAAAGTAGGAATTCTGAATTTTAATTGAATGTTCTAAATCTTTGTGTATTTTTTATATAAGATTGTACAGACTCAACTATTTCTTTGTTTTTGCTGTGCTGAAATGAAAGGTCACCAGCCAATAGAAGCAAAAAGGATCAAGGACGTATATTAGAATGTTAGTTATACGTCCTTGAAAGGATATAGTAGATCTTTCTAATTTTGAAGATTATATTTCTCTTGCTTCAATATGAAACGGGCACCAAAAAAAAAGAAGGTGAATACTCTCCTCAACAGGATGGCCACAGCTGCATGCGGGATTGTGTTTCATATTAACAAGGTTTTTATAAATCAGCATTTGAAGAACTTCACATGTTTCTCAAACGTGTATCAATGATATTAAGATTTATATCACCACAACTAAAATAGGAAGTGCGTACTGTGAATAAATACTCAGTTTAGTATTGTTTACAGCAATTTATCACATATAATACCATGTTAACAGTTAATAACATAAACGTTACCAATTTTTCTGCACCAGATGCGCATTTCGACAATCAATGTCTCTTCAGTGAAGGTGACGGTATTTGACAGTCTGAAGGAGACAGCATCGAGGATTTAATAAGGCAAAGCTTCTGTTGTACTCAATCTTACTAAAGTTTTCTTTATTATATTTTATAGATATGTATTCGAGATACGATAATGTAGTTTCCTTTTTTGTATTACACCTGATCATCTATGATGGGATAATGTCTAATGAGAGAATTTAACCATAGACTGAATAACGTAGAAATGACCAATTAAAGGTCACTGTACGGCCTTCAACAATGAGCAAAATCCATACAGCATGGTAAGATACACAAGGCTCCGAAAGGACAAATGTAAAATACACTCAACGTCTTCTCAGCGATTGCAAAGTACTTTTTCTAAATTAATTAAGTTTTGAATCAGGTTACACAGTCACAATAGTATACAGTAAATAGCCTTTCATGTTAAAATACATACAACAAATGGAAGTTTTTAACGACCTTGACTGGCTATACAGCCCTTGCACGGTCACTACAATGTCATAATACTATGACAATGTCATTTACACTGTTCAAACATCACCGCACGTCAAACTTTGTACAACAGAAAAAAAGCTGATTGGACATTCGTGAAAATGTGTCACGCCCTCATCAATTGGCGTACATCCTATCAAGTACCTTCAGAAAGCTTCCATTAAAATAATTTTACATACAAGTAATTGTGTATTTTATTTTCTAAACAAAACAAAATGTGCAATGAAGCCACGGATTCGTAATCTTCAAAAATAGTTCACAAACGGTTGATACAATGTGGAAAGTCTAAATAGAAATATAACAATTATGTCCAGTGTGCGTTTATAAAACGGGCTCTGTTTGGACATTTTGAGAAACTATAAGTACTACACTGTAAAAACAGTGTTTAGATCCTAAACACAAATCTAAACACTTTTTCTGTGTACGTTTTGAAACACGTTTAGCATCTAAACATGTTTAGATTTTAACAAGTGTTTAGATTTCAACAAGTGTTTAGATGTCAGATGTTTAGAAATGTATGCTGTTTAGACCTTAGAACTGTTAGGCTACTAGTACTATGATTTTACAGGAACTACTAGTGGTACAGCACTACAGATTGGATACTAATAGTGCATTGTATAATATTGTAGAATATACAATTCTTGTGTACATTTCTGCTTAAATGTCCTTGCAAAGATTTTTACCATCATTTGTCCTTGTCAATACAGAATACTAAAGCTGGAAAACTGCAGTAATGATAATAATAATAATAATAATAGGGTTACACATTTTATTCTTCCTGGAGGCCAAAGAAAAGTCTGTAAACCAT